ACTTATGCACAAATGCCCTTGGGAAAGTCTGAATCAATTTCGTCTCATACTTGAATAGCACGACAGACTGTTTCTTATAGCCTTGGTTGGCAACTAGTTTATTGCAGAAAAAATATCAACCTAATATGAGAAAATTTGCCTAGTCAGTCATGAATTGAATGAGACATGATCACCCGGCTGTGTATTGCATATGGCACTTAACTGACTGACTCTTCTTAAAATAAAAACGTCTGTTTTTACAGCATATGTTAAATAAATATTCCTTCTGACATTATTTATTTTGTTTATTTAACCCTAGAACACTAACCATCAATTAAAGTTACACCGCTACTAACCATGGGTATATCATACCCGATTTTGAAAATATCAAAAAAATATTAAATATAAATCTTTATTTGAAATATTTTACATGCAGGCACTTGAAACTTTATACTTTGAGTTATCATTAATAGGAACTGAAAAACATGTTATTTAGATAAGAAAATCAGGTACTGAAAATTGTAATTAGAAATAGGAAAATTTGTGCTGGGTACTATATACCCATGGTTAGTGTTCTCGGGTTAAAATATCTCCTTTTGATTCTTCCAATAAAAGAGCTGAAGTATTTCTCTTTAAACTTATGCACAAATTTTAGCTCAGAATTTAAAGTGTGTTACAAGATATCTGTGGTATAGTGACCAAAATAGTGGTTTTGTTTTTCTTTGGCATTAGGAGTTTTAACTAATTTAATTGTTTAATGAATGTCATGTTGAATGGACATGCCATGAAATCATTTTACATTAATATGGGAAAATAAAAATAAAATGTATTGCCCAGTGCTAGGATTGATCTCACAACCTTAAGTCAACCAGTTAAAGATTTTAGGAGATTTCATCATTGTTGCCTGGAATAAGATCACCCAGTGGAGCTCTCTAAAATCCAAGGATCTTTCTCTTGAGTTAATTTTTTATCTGCTGCCTGGAGAACTATTGTCATTCAGCTTTAGCTCCTCACTCTCAACTCAGGATTTGAGAAAATCAAGTGGAGAGTGAAAAAATTAGAAGACTAAGAAGTCAAAAGAAGCAGAGACTATAAGAACAAAGACTTAATTACTGAAAATTTCAACAACAGCATCAACTAAAATGGATAGCATATTAAGAAGTACCCATTAATAATAAAAAGAGAAATAATAGTGAACATGGTAAACCTATTTTCCTGAAAGATTGTTTTAATAGAAATATTTTATAAATTTCAATTGATATTAGCACTAGGTACTTGGTCAATGAATGCTGAATATTTCCTTATAAGGAAACAACTAACATTACCATTATCATTCATATAAATCAATGGTTTCCAATGTTGGGTGCATGTTCTACCAGTGGCCCATGGTAATATTTTGGTGGGTCATGTATAGGATGTGCACCCTTCAGCTTAATATACTAACAGAATAAGGGGGCAATTTGAAAATGAGTTATTAACAGTGAATTGTTTTCTAGTGAGTCTGAGTGAGAGTGTTAATACATACGATGCATATACAGTATGTATACATAAAAATTCAACCACCGCAGCAAGAAATTTGTTGTTACCATTTCCATCTTCACATTTAGCTGAATGTGGCTTCAGAAAAGAAATCTACTGGATATCACTAAATGTGGAGACTTGAGGCTTAAGCTGACTAAATTGGTGCCTAATATAAAATCTATCTGTAGCAGTCATGACGCACAAGGGTCTCACTAATAGTCATTTTGTGATGAGCTCAAATTTAATTTTGCATTATTTCATGATTAAAATGATCAAAGTATATTACAAAATAAACTTTCATTCAAATATTTTGTATTTATGCCTTTCAGTTCTCTATTATATGTTTTGAAACTATATATATTTAACTGTCTTTTTAATTTTTCTCTTTCATGGACACCATGGGCTTTGGAGGCTTGTTTAGAGACCAAGTTAATAGCCTTTTAAGTTTCCTTCACATGAATTGCAGTAAAATTTTGAATATGTAAGAATTAAATATTACAGGTGTCACCAGAATTTTAGAAATACCAAAATGAGGCATGGCTCAAAATTGGGTGAGAACCACTGATATAAATGGAATTCAGCAAAAATATACATGTTTTCCCTGTACATGCATAATAATTTTTGAATCATTTTAAATTATATCAATTGTTTTATTTTGCTAAAGGGGCTTTTATGGTTTTTTTTTTAATCATTAAAAAATGTGTTTGCATGTTTTAAGAAAAGCTTCACCTGATTTCTACCCTTACAATTAGCACATATTTTTAAGATTCTGTTTTAATAGTAACAAGTTACTGTATTTTTATGGATGTTGACAGAAAGTGTTTAAACTTAAATAGTTGTACATCAGAAGAACTACCAAAAGGGAAGATTTCCATTTTAATTTAAAAATTAAAAAAATGAGTTGAAGAAAACATAAAAAAATTCCCCAAAATGACTTGCCAAAGAAGCAGATTGAATTATAATGTATCAATCTTTCTTTGAGAGAATTCATAGATGAATTTTATTCTCATATCTGAAGACACTGGTAAAAATAAATTCTTTTATCTATCTGTGTATGAACTGTTGCATAAATAGTGTAATTTCAAATAGAGATCTCAGATGATTCTTAAGTATGTGTGTACTTATGAATTACCGTAAGGTATTAGTATCACTTCCATCTCTCCCAGCCTAAGCTTGGAGAGAAGAGGATTCTCTCTTCTTCTAATTAAGAATCCAGAAGAACTCCAAAGATATTTAAAAATAAACCAAACAGGCAAAAAGTGGTATATACATATTTGTATTATTATTTTATTTTTTATTTCTTTTAATTATTTCACCCTAAGCAAGGTGATAATGTCACTAAGACATAAGGGTTTACTGGGAGTGAAAGAGAATGAGAATACTTTACTAAGGCAAAAAGCTAACAAAAGAACAACATTTAGAAAGCAGATGATGGCAATTGATGATGCATTAAAATTTTTCAAGATTGTAGGTGGCAGCGAAACAGGAAAACAGAAAAGAGTTCCACAGGTGAGAAAAGAATCTATTAGAATAGAACATATGGTTGCATCTAACTAGTTCAACATCAAAATGCTGAGGCCTAATTGCCAATCAAGTAGTATACTTAAATTCATACAGTTGAGGTAGCAAGGAAGAAAGCTCATCAGAAAAATTGCCACGAAAATATTTGTAGAAAATACAGAGGGAATTATGTCAGAGTGGTGAAAAAGTGGCTGAAGTCAAGATACCAAGTCAGGACTGATTACATTACAGACCATTCTTTGAATTTTGTCAAGAATCTTGAGATATAGGAGCACCAGACCAAATATGGCAACAATATTCAATGCAGAAATTAATGGTGGATTTATGAATGTGCAAGATGGATTTTGATGAGAAAAATTATCTGGTATGACACAGTGAATGAACTTACATAGCAACAGACCTAACAATTGATTCAATATAATTGCTCCACTTCATATCAGTGGAAAATATGAGCTCAAAATAGGGCAAAGATTTGCTCTCCTAGAGGTTAGCATCATTTTGAATTTATTATAATTTGTATCTTTGTGTGTAGCTGAATGTTTTACCTCCATAATCTATGTTTGTTTTGTTGTTAAAAGCTAAGGGAAGCTCAATATATTTTTGTATCTTAAGCAAATTACTTTTGTAGTATACCTACAGATGATAATGGGTATGTTCCCATGCACATAAATACAGTAGTAAATACTATATGTTGGTTTGCAGTTGAAGATTCATCTCCAGCTGTTCTGGTCAAATTCTCTGCCTGGAGACAGAGAGGATCCTCAGACAAGATTATGTTGAAGAGCAGAGTCTCATCTCGGGAAACAGCTACCCGACCCCATTTTATACAGGGTCTACGGGGAATTTTTCGCCAAGCCTACAGGCTCAGATACCCCACATTAAATTTGGCCTTGTGCTGCATCTGACCACGTGGGGTGGTTGGTAGATATCCTGCAGTTGGAGATTCATTATGGAATTCATTTGATTCACTTCAAGCAGTTGACTACTTCTCTACACACTGCTGGCAAATCTTATATGTGTTGTTCATGTTTTAAGTATTATCGTTCATTACCAACCTTCATGTGATTATTCTATTCAGTAACGTTCCCTAGGTTACAACAATTACATAGAACTCTTACCATCAATCAATGACAGCAAATAATTTTGCAATTGTATTGATTATATTTTTGTATGAATAATCTAAAATTTTTATCTATATAATTAACCCTATTGCTGCAACTAAAAATTCTGTATATTAAATCATTAAAATTAAAAATAACCAAATAAAAAAGAATAAAAAAAATCTATGTTTCATAAGCCTGATCTTCTCTATTTACTAATGAGACACTTATATATGTAGTAAATATAGTAAAACAAGTTCATTTAAGTAATGTCAAGTAATGTCTCCTGTTACCACAGCAACAGTTAAAAAACTTTGAAATCCAACTATTATAGAGGAAAAAATGTGTGTGAGAATGGAAGAATAAAAGAAAATTTCTGACTAATATAAAATTAAAATCCTTAGATTTGTTTTACTTCTTGCACAGATAATCCTTCACTGAAAACAAGAAAGTCACTGTGCAAAAAGTCAACTTGTCCTACAAAGTTTAATTTTGACTGTCACTTAAGGTCTGATAAAATTTAATCTTTAAATTCATTCTTGACAAAGTAGCATCCAATGTTATGCAGCACTGAAAGGTTAAAAGTTTTATGTTGATTTTCCTGATATCTAAGAAGAATTCTTGTTAAGCTCTTGAGCTTATGTAAAACAAAATACAGTTTTTTGTGTAGTTTATGTTTGATTTTAATTGGAATTTTCATGAAGATTACAGTGTAATTAATTAAATACTTTAATCTTGTGTCATTGCATGAACTACAATTTTGAATATTTTGCACTTTTAAAGTAGTTGTTGTTAATGCACATTTAAACTGAGAAGCATTTGTCATTGAGATTCCTTAATTATAACTGAAAGACCTACATTGGACCGGTGTTGATCTCAATGAACCCTTTCCAGCAACTAAAGATTTTTACTGATAAAGAAGTGGAGCAGTACCAAGGAGCTGTGAGTTCAAATCTTGTTATTTTTCAATTATTTTTAATACTCTTTTTATATTGTATTTATTTCCAAATTTTACCAGTTTTAAGGAAACCTAATTTTAAATCCAGTTTCTGAACTCTCTACCCAAGATGACTTTTGATACAGATATGTAGGATTCTGTGCAGACAATATGACAGAGGCATTTATATAAATATCTGCTTTCCATGAAAATCAAATTAAATAAAATTAAAATGTTTCACAATAAAAAAGAAAATCACTAAATAAGTAACTTTATGCTGAAAGGTGTATTGAAATAGTAAAAGATGCCTCTAAAAGCTAAGCAAAGTATTAAGAAACAGGAAAATTTTATTAGAAGCAAAGAAAAAATATTGAAGTTTTACATAATATCAGTCGTAGACAATCTCTGCACAAATGAAGATGAAACTTGAAGTAACAGAATTGGTGGGGATTGCTAAAAATTCTCAAAATTGATTTCTCACAAAATCCTGTTGTTTGACCAGATTTGGGAGTATGGGTCAAACCAAGAACTTTTCACCAAGTATATATATTCTAATATTACATTTTCTAATGTTAACTTTAACAAAAAACATAGATAGCATTATGTAAGGGTTCAAATATTCAAGGGTTCAATACAGGAATGTGTGATAACAGTGGACTTGAGAATCATATTTTCCTGAGAAATTGTTTTAACAGAAAGATTTATACTGTGGTTTATTCTGCAACTATGCTGAATGGACCTTAATTATAGTTTCTGGGAGAGAGTGAATTATCTGGCATGAACAACAGCCTGAACAAGGCCTGTATGGTCACTACCGGTCATGATGACTTGTGACCTTGTGCTAACGCAACCATCAGCAGCTACCAAATAGTTCTGTCTACTTGATTTCATTAACAAGGCTTAGGTCAACCCATGGTATGGTTTTTCAGGGACTTACCAAATGTGCCATGTGCTGGCATCACCTCCTCAAGCTGATAATACCAAAGAGTCACCGCCTTTAAAAATCAACCCTACTGAGATTCAAACTCGTGTGTCAATGTCAGAAAAGAAATGTTCTAACCACTTGACCACATGTGCATATATATATATATATATATATATATATATATATATATATATATATATATATATATACAATGTTATATTAGCTGAATTTTGATTTGAAATTTTCAGTGTATAATGCTTGATATATTTAATTAATAGAAAAGTGTTAGGTAAAGTACACTGAAAACATTGTATAAAATAAACATATTTTTTCATCATTAATTTATGGACTCATTGAATATGTATATTTAGGTATGTATATATCTATATTTAGGTTTGTATATATACCTATGTATGGAAGTTTTGTTTTTACATTTTTATTTTTATTTTTTAATTGAATTCACCCCAACCAAGGCAGTAAAGCCACTAAGTCACATGGAGTTATTGGGTGTGAAAGAATTAGAAAACAGAAATATTACTAAGGATCAAGGACAATAGATGAGCAATCAGGATGACACTAGATAGTGATTGATACTGCATTTGAATTTTTTAAGATTAAAGTTGACTGAAAAGCATGAAGACAGAAGAGAGTTCCTCAAGAGAGAAGTGCAAGAAAATAAACTGTTAGCATAAAACTTATGGCTACATCAAGCCAGCTCAACTTTAAGTTGATGAGACCTCATTGCCAGTCTGGGTACCATAGTGAAGAGCGCATCTGAACAATTACCATGAAAGTATTAATAGAAAAGCCACAGGGAGGCAATATGATAGTGGGAAAGTGACTAAAGCCAAGAATCCAGGTCAGGACTAATAATATTGCTGATTCTTCTTTGGTGTTTATCAAGAATCTCTAAATATATAGCAAGAGCACCTGAACATATTTTAAAGCATGGACAAATGGTAGACTTATCTAATGTAAGATAGATTTTGGAGAAAGAAATTGTCTAGCACTGCACAGTGAGCCAACTTTCTTAGTAGCTGACTTAGCAATGGCTTCAATATAGTCTTTCCACTTCATGTCAGCTGAGAATATTAACCTGAGAAGGTGCAACAAGTCATTCTTTTAGAAGTTAGCATCAACCATGCTGATGGAAGGCAGAAAAGGATCTTTCAGATGATTAATAGATAGCTTTTTTGTTTTAGAGGCATTATAATTAACAAGCCATTCTTTGCTCTAGTTAACAACAGACTGAAAGTTGTTTTTGACATAGGCCACCAATTTGACCTTATCAAACTGATCAAACTTATTATTGAGACCAGAGTAAATGGTTGTCTCATCAGCATAGATACCAAGTTGAGAGCTGATGCCATTGGGAAGGTTGTTAATGAAAATTAAAAAGAGAGTAAGACCAAGAATAGAGCCCTGGGGGTCAACAGCATTAGTGTAAAAGGATCTAGAAGAGTGGTTGTTCAGGATAACTTTCATTTCATGATTTAATAAGAAAGACTGGATATGTTCAAAAATTTGTCCATAGACACCATAACTTTTCAACTTATGAAGAAGACCTGTATGCCAAACCCTGTCAAACACTTTTGAGATGACCAAAGCAATAGCCTAAGCTTCATTTTTATCTAAATCTTGATAGACTTTTCTGCAATGATCGTTAATACAGCAGCAGTTGACTAGAGAAGTGAAAGCCATATTACTTGCTTGAAAGAAGCCCCTGCAATGTGAGATGCTTAACCAATCTGTAGTTGATTAGGTCATTAGGTAGTTTACCAAAAAGAGCTAAAAGGCTGATAGGTTGATAGTTTGAGGGGACAGATTATTCATCTGAGTTTTTAAAAACTGAAACAACAGATGATGATTTCCAACAAGCAAGTGGCAGCAAGGCATTTATTATACAGTTAAGGGAGAAAAGGAGCCAGTTTGGGAGCACACTTCTTAAGGACTATTACATGGATACCATCAGGTCAACATGCCTTGTGGGGATCCAGATTAGAGATGATAGCAGAAATCACAGAAGAGGTTATATGTATATTACTTAATAGAGACTCAGTTCTAAGTTGAAAGTTAGACAAGGATACTCTAGATGAGTCAAGAGTAGAATCTAAGGAGAATTCATGAACAAAACATTTAGCTTTAATTGAAGAGAGAAATAATAGATAACTGATTTTTATTTATTTAATACCCTATTACAAAGTTGTTAGATGCAATATGGTCCCTCATTCTCTCAGCAAACAAAGACTTAGCTCCTTCTAGGACACATTTACATTTATTAGATGTAGTTTGAAAAAAAAAAAAAAACTTGCCTCATGGACGTCTGTACATAAAAAGAATCTCGTGTGGAAGCCATATTGTTTTATGCTGACAAATTGGCGCAAAATCACGGTGACCACAAGATTTGAGAAAATATAAATATGCAGTGTACGAAAGATAGGGGGGGGAGTTAGTCTACAAAAGACCAGACAATATGACAAATACAACATCTACATTAAATGCAGCCATGAATAGGTGCCTTGTGATCAGAAGTGTCACACTGTTATAGCTGGAAATATTGGTTCCTGTAGGTTATATCATAAGAACATGAACTGGTGTAAACTATGGAGAAGATTGGTATTTCTGTGAATGAACAAAAGCATCTATCAGCTTTGATCCAAGAAATCTCAATGACACAAATCTCAATAGGAAGGTTAAAAATATCAATCCAAGGGGCATCTTGATGAAAGTCACAGAGTGAATCCCAGTCAGCATGATGTTAACAGAAAGAGGTTTTATGAATAGGAGGTTCATGTCTAATAGGTGATTGGAATAAAATAGCAATAAATATGATCTGAGTTGTCAAGAGGACAGTGTTTTGAAGCTTGGCAAGAGCAAGGAGAGGAGAAATAAATCAAGTGAAGGAGCCTGTTGCTCAGATTTATGAGTGGAAAAAGTAGAGAAATCTAAGATTTGAATAAGGGACTGAGCAATGGAAAAATTGAAAGTCTGAATACTGGCAATATCAGTAACATTAGAATTTTTAAGCCACGTGTCATGATGTACCTTAAAATCACCAAATACATTGTAAAATATTGTTTCCAATTTGATTTGTAAATCTGTTTGGATCTTTTAATCCATTAGATGAGATTATGTTAAATAATTCTAATTAATGTCTTTTGAAAGAGTATTTGGGTTTAATGTCATTTGTAAAGTTTAATCAGATTATTTTTTATGTGCAACAATGAAGCCTGTTTTATTTTTAAATGAAGCTTTTAAAATAAGAATTTCTTTAATTCATACTAGACAGTTAATTAAAGAAAAGTGTACTTAACTGTCATGTAATATTGGTCCTTCTATTTGGTGGTGAATTCTGGACAATCTCTTCATAGATGAAGAAGAGACTTGAAGCAACAAGTTTTTTTTTGTGGTTTTACAGAAGGATGCTGATAATACCATGGACTGAACATGTGAACAATGATGATGTTTAAGATAAAATGTAAAAAATGATACATCAAAAAGAGATAGCTGAAATCTCTAGAGCACATAATGAGGAAAAAGGGCTTGGAAAATTTGACACTCACAGGACATAATAAAGGCAAGAAGGACAGAAGAAAGCAGTACATAATCTACTTAGCAAGCTTGTGTAAATGATTGGTAGAAAAAGGATTAGGGAAGGTAGTGAAAAGACAAATTTACTAAGAGGTACAAACAACAGGAAATTGTGAAGGGAAATGACACTTAGAGGAAGACAACAGTTAATGTCCATCAGGGTAATTTCTTATTGAAATAAATATGCATAATTATTATTTAAATCATAATGAAAATAGATCAAGTTATATAATGTAATTTTATAGTCAATCGAAACTATTTTTCCTATTCTAATTATAACTATGTTAATATAAGCCTGCAACTAGAACTTCCGATTTTCCAACTAATTGGCACTTGATCCTGAAAGTTTTCATTTATTTATTTATTTTTTTCTATTTCTTTTTGATCAATGTGTGGCTGATTTTAGAATTTTCTTATCTATGTTGTCATAAAAAACTACTGCATTTAGGTCCTGATAAAATCATTCACAGTTCACTTTATTTCATAAGTGCTATCAGCAAATTATGAGAGGGATCCATTGTGTCATATTTAATGGTAGTATTAAAGAATAAGAATCAATAAGAATGATGAAACAGAATCAAAGTATCTTTCAAAATTTGTTCTTCCTATCGTCAAAATTGTAAATTTTGATCAGTTAAACTAAACCAACCAAGATGCAGTTTTAACATGCTATATCTTTGAAAAAAAATCTGCTCACATTAATTTGCTGTGCCAAACATTGAAATTAATTGTCAATTAAAAGATTTTAAAGCAGAATATCCTTAATCTGAAAAAAATTTGTAAAAGTCATTTTATTTTCTGTCTTTGTATCAGTAAATCTTTTTCTTTAATTAATTTCTTTACATTATCTAATGGTTTTCTTTGATGATACATAACCATATTATTTTTAATATCTGATAAAATAAAGTTTTATTTTTGTATATATTATATAGGCTATAATTTTCATTTATCCTCAGATATATTAGGTACATAAAAGACATTTTTATTTTATACATTGTAATGGAATCACTTGGAAGAAAGATTTATTCTCAAATTTGTATTTCCCCTGTTATAGGCATAATTATAACCATGATATAATAACACTGATGTTTTAGGAATGAAATAGAATGGCTGAAAGGAAAAAGAATGACAAACATGATTTGTTCTCAAGGAAACTTTTATATTACAAAGACATACACAAAACTATATATATATATATATATATACATGTACCCCACATGGAGAATAAAATATCATGTATATCAACACAGCAAAGCATGTAAGGAGAATAAAAAGGAAGTGTTTTACATATAAATATGGAGATACTCCTGTAACTGAGAAGCCATTTTTAGGACACCAGATTTAAATGGGCCAGATTCATCTATGTCCAAGGCGAGGGCATATTCCATGAACAGGAAAAAGCTAGTCTTGGGCTTTCCTAAATTGAGGACTGAAAGCTGGAGTTTCATTCTATACCTTTGAAAGATATATTCCCAAAGGGAAACAGCACCATGGACTTGTAAGCTGCCCAGGAGGCAGATTTAATCTCAGCCTGGGCTATGATGGGGACCCCTGGCTAAAGAAAGCAACCTTCTCATTTGGCTGCTGTAAATGAACTGAATAGTGACTGATTCTTTGGTCACTGTATGAAGTGACTTCATTAAGCATAGGGAGATAAGTGCCTTCTGTATCAATATATAAAAATTATTATCTTATTATAATTCTGCTTAACATGACTGTTATGCCCAGTCAGTACCTCATAAATAATGAACTCTTCTGTTTTAATCATGTGGAAAGATGGAAAGGACATATCAGAGATGTTACTTGGTTTCAGTGAGAAAAAGAAAGAAAGAATGGAAGATAAAAGAGGCAATAACACTCATGTGTTTAACATGTTTCAGTGAAATAGAAAAGTTTTCATTTGTACTCCCTTACTTCTTTAAATAATAATTAGAATTCATATTTATGATTGTTATTGCAATATTCTCTGAAAGTTGTTCAGATCAAATATTTATTTATGTGGTAGGGGAATTACTATAAATATTTTATTGTTGTAGAACTTGCCATGAGCTTATTCAATCATTAACTTAAGAATTAAGATTCATCAGAAAAATCAAATAGGAAAACTGAAATTTTCACAGGTATTTCTAGTTAATAATAATAAACATAAACATGTTGAAGGAAATGTCACAGGAGGACAGATTTGGCTCATAGTCTATAGTTTGGTGATTTGTGGCAGGTGATCATGTGTATCAGTGGGTTTAATGAAAGTGTAAAAAAATTAATCTTGAACAATGATCAAACTTATATCATTGCCTGAGACTGTTCTAGACTATATGTCTCCATTTTGCAGAAAGGAGAGAACCGGCTTCTATTGATGTCTGTAATTATTTTGAATATTGTAAATGATGGTTTCATGTTAGTTTTACATTTTATTTCTAACTAAAATTTATGCAAAAAGTGAATTGCAAGTAAAGAAAATTCAAATTTTAAAATTAATCTTTTCTAATCAATCAAAAAACAAAAAAATCATGAAAGAATGTTACTAATGAATCAGTGAAAAGTCAGAATAAATCTTTCCTGGGATTTTTTTTTTTTGTTGTTTTTTACAATAAGATTCATCCTGTGTAAGACCTGGGAGCCGCTCAATGTAGAGGGTTATGTTAAGGAGTAGATTATATGCATAGGAAGGCAAGATAACAGTTAACTAGAGTTGAACTGGTTAAGGTTGTTGTGATCGGGGGGCGTGGAGGGGGAAACATCCTCTTTGGAGTCTGTTCCACAGGGCAGTGGTTTGCAGGAAGAACCTGAAACTTACTTCTTACTGATGGAATACAGAGGGAATGTGGGTGGTTTTCTACTATATAAGTGGGGTTCAAGCTATGAAAGTTAGACATGGCGGAACTAAGGAATGTAGTTTGTCCAAGCACTTTCCATGGTAGTACTGACAGAGCAGTGAGAGACTCACAACATCCCACCTGTGAGAGAGAGATTGTAGGGTGAAAAATAATTCTTCTCCAACAGAGATGCTTTTGAACTCTATCAAGAGTTCAAAAGCATAGAGGATAGCATGAGGAGTCAGGTACTTACTGGATTGCTACAGGGAGCCAATCATTTTCCCTGCATCTTTAGCGATGGATTGTATATAAGAGTTCCACTTGAGGTCGGGTGTGAGTTTGAGGTCCAATATTCTCTCAAAGCATGGAGCCTCCTTGAGGGGACATCTATTCGTAATGACTGGCAGTAGTTTGGGATCTGATCGGTGGTGATGGAATGTAATATTTTAGATTTGTTTAATAGTTTAGATTTGCACCAGTATTGATAACTGATAAAGTGTATTTTAAAGAAAATAATATATTCAAAATTCTTGTTAGCAATCAAACTGAAAACAATTCAGAACTTTATATGACCTGAAGTGGCATAAATTAGATAAACGTATAAAGCATTAAAATCAAAATCATACCACTCGATGTGTGAAATAGACATGATAACCATTGCACAATTAGATCAATGTTAGTAATGTAGAGTGAGTGGCTATGGTTGAATGTAAAATAAATGGCAGAACTACCCAATAAACAGAATTGACAAAGCAATAACAAAAAAGAAAAGAGCAGAGAAAAAATAATAATATAAAGCAAACAAACAATATATGCTAGGCAAATTAAAAGTAATAAGGCAAAGCAATAGTAATAAGGCAAAGCAATAGTAATATGGCAAAACATTCACAAACTAAAAATTGGGGTTGACACCCAAGAGCAAATTCAGAAAAGTAAACATAGCGTTCTGACTTCAAGACAAAACAGATAGGGACTGAGTCATACAAAACTGAGAACTGGCTTATTTTATTGGCTAGAAAGAAATCCCAGCATGCATTTGTATGTTTCTACCTATAAATTTGGGAGTGAAAAGTGTTTTGCAGCTATTCCCCATGGGGATTGAAACTAACAAGCAATAATAGGTAAAACATATCAGAAAAAATTTACATGACTGGGAACAATGCAGTAAAGAACCCTTTATTTATTCTATGGGAGTAGATTGTTCTTGTTCCGCTGATTATATCACATTTCATACTGACCAGATATTGCTTACCCCATTTCCACTGAGTTCAAGAGTTTGAACTTAAAATTACCATGTCACTCAATTCCAAATTGATGGTAGAAAGAAAAAGGAAATCTATGGCATTATTTTGTTTTAGTTATTTACTCAGCTTTTTTATAAATTGGTACAACAAACTGATTCTAGTATTCAAAAACAGTCACCAATCTAAGTACTAATTATAGTGAAAGTAAATTAATGACTGTAATTAAGTAGAAAGTAATGTTTTCAGTGTCATCTAACTGTAATGGGCACTAATTTTATTTGTTTTAATTTAATTGGCCTTAATTTAATGTCTTTATAAACATACTCTCATCATCTCCTTAGAGTTGCCATATGATTCATTGGGGAAAAACAACAACGTTATCAGAATTATCGCCCTTGCATAATTTTTTGAACTGAAAAAATATTTGTGAGTGTATAATATTTGTCAGTATTTAAAAAATATATTAAAAAATAAAATTTTCTTTTGTCTATTACAGATATGTTATGAAAACCCACCACACATTTATGCTTTAACGGACAACATGTATCGAAACTTGATGATTGAACTGGAGAATCAATGTGTCATTACAAGGTTTGTAAATCTATAATGGGAGTAAAAAAACAGATGCTTAATATTTATTTTCATAACTTCTTAATCAAATGTTTATTTCACAGAGTTTGTTAAAAATGCAGAATACAGTAATTCCTTGATTATATGTATCATAATATTCAGGACTTTGATTATCCGGATGTGAAATGAAGTGAAAATTTGAAATCATCCAAATATTTTTCAATTACCTGAACTAAACCTATTCTAATATTTCATCACCAGCAAGTATTTTGAAAATTTGGAAAACTATGTTCAGTAAAAATGCTGATAAAATCAATTTAATTAATTCTTGCTAATTTCATATAAAAAATGTGTTTGAATAATCACGCTTGGTCAGGCCAGAGATTATGGTTTATACAACTTTTAGATGCATGTAAACCAGGGTTTCCCAACCCGGGCAATATTGCCTACCAGTGGGTGATTCCAGCTGTTAGGTAGGCTATGAGCAACTGAACAGAAAATGGTGAGCAATTCAAAATTTTGGTGGCTGATATAGGATTTAGAGTAATAAAAAAGTATTTCAACATATGTTAACTGGAAAAATATTCAAAGGAGATATGCAAAGAATTTGCATATTAAAAAAATACAAAAAAACGAGGCTAAATGGGAGTGACTGGGTCACATTCCTAGATAAGATATAAATATCCCCTGCAAACAAGGTATATTTTGGTATTTCAGTGGTCAAGTTTGATTTTGTTTGTTCTCTAGTACAGTAATAGCAGCAGTCGCCACCACATGTCAATGTTATTTGTTACCTCCCATTGGTATTTTCTACTATATCATAAAGTTTGTTTATGAACTAGTAACAAACTTTATCAAACTATTTTAGTATGCATTTGAATATTTACTATACATGCGAAAGTGAACGATGAAGCAAAAAAGGTTGGGAACTGCTGATGTAAACAGGCAAAACTTGACACACTTTTGCATAAAAAATAAAATTGACAAAACCTTGAACAAAGCATTTGAAAATGTTATTTGATGAGATAAATGTTAAATTTCTTTCAAGAAAAGACTTTTCCTTCATTCTTTTTTTGATAATTTAGGAATTCAATTTTTCAAAATTGACTTATCTGGACATATTTTTTCAACTCCTGTCTCAATTAATTGAGGAATTACTGTATTCAAAAATCGTTTTGGAAATTCATTAAAATATTTAAATTTAATTTTTAATGTTGTCCTTGTCCTACTAGGCTTTGCCAATATACTTGTTAGGAGAGCTCTTTAAGTCTATAAAATGGCAATCATAGTCTGTCTTTTTTAACTCTTGCTTTCAGTTGTAGTTGAACATAGAATAAAAACGCTGCTGATGGGGCGCGTTTGCTTCCTCGTTCCTCTGTTGACTTTTGAACTCTCTCACAAACACACATATACATGCCTATTTCACCCCCCCACACACACACAACAATCAAATTCTTATAGCTAGTTTTAATGTCTTTTCCATTATTTCAATTGTGTACACATGCAAATACTTTTGTTAATACATGCTTTAATTGATGTTTATTTTAAATTCATTGTTTTGTGTTGTCTTTATTTTTACTTGGACTCACATGAGTCCATCAATTTTGTTGGCAGGACAAACGTATTAGGAGCATTAAGAACTCATCAAAAGTTTGAATTCCCAAAACAGCATTTTTTTTGTGTTTTGTGTTCATATTTTTGTTTAATTTTTTTCTGGTCAACATGAAAAGTAATAAATAAGGTTTTGGGAAAAAAATTTATGAAAGGCTACTGAAAAGTTCTTGTCAATAATCCATTTCCTATAATCCATTGAAATGATCAAATATCTGATTCTTTTTGAGAAGGGCTTCTTGGCTGAGTTGAGAATTTTTCAGCACCCCCTTGAATCAAATATTAATCTGAGGCAGATGTACAGTTATAATTTTTCATGACTATTCAACAGTAATTCAATTGTTCCTTATCAGAAAACTAATGTCCATAGATGAACTTGATTTTGATACCAAATTTCATCAGATGAAAAGAAAGAAATATGTATTTATTTTAATCTTTATTATTTTTATTATTTAAAATCAATTTTAGTTTGAAAATTTCATTTTAATATTAATGTTTGTGATTTATGGTAAATTTGAGAATTTTTAAATCAAACAAGTACAGAAGTTTAGATATCTGGGAATTGTCTTAACAAAGGATGGAAAATGTGACACTGAAATCCAAAGGAACATTGGAATAGCAAAAGATGCTTTTTAAAAACTAAACAATTAAGAAACTGGGAAATGTCATTAGAAACAAAGAAAGGTGTTATAAAATATCACTCCTTGTATATGGCAGTGAATTCTGGGCAATTTCCTCACAAATGATGAGGAGAATTCAGAGAACAGAAATGTGGTTCTACAGAAGCATGCTGAGAATACTATAGATGGAGCATGTGAGCAACAAGATAGTTCTCAAGAAATTGTAAACAAAAAGGACAATTATACATAAAATCACAAAGATACAGTAGAAATTCTGAGACACATAAAGAGAAAAGAAGACCTGAAAAATTTGACACTCTCAAGACATTGAAGGCAAGTGAGTCAAATGAAAGGAGTGTGTAACCTACCAAACAAATTTGTGTAAATGGATGGTAGAACAGAGAGGGATAGTAAAAAACAAAAAAATAGGAAGTTGTCGAGAGCGATGATCATCTATATCCTAAAGTGACATGATAAATAGAATAAGATACTTGAACTAGTATCCTCATTCTTGTTATAGTTATGATGTTTCAGCAATAGTACTCTCTAATCTTATTTTAGGCATCTATCATAGTTGGTAATCTTTTGGGAATTTCAAACTTAATCTTTACTCAATCTCTAGGGGCTCATCTGCATTCCATGACAGAAAATGTTGTATTCATTAATGTGTTATTGTTCTTTATTTTGCTTGCTTGCTTCTTCCAAAAGTGGCACATTTTGGCGAATTATCTAGGAATAATTAACAGATACAGTTATCTCCCCTAGTATGGTGAGCAAAATGGGAACAATCTAACCCAGTGGATTATTGTAAGGGGTCACTTAGAAATAGAGAATAACTATCTTGGTTGTCTCCTGTTGCCCATCATAGACATTAGTTCATCTGTGATACACTAACACCCTAACACAACAGAAAGAGAGTCCAGAAGAGCTGAAAGTAATGATTCATTTTGCTAAAGAGATTTTATATCCAGGTATGTTGTACAAGAAATTATATACAACCAATATGTATACCTGTTACTATTCATCCCACACAAAGAAACTATAACACATATAGACTGTGTGAATGAGTGAAAATCAAGAGGATCTTACTTGTAATATTTCCCAAGGGGAACATTCTTAGACCTTTTGTTGTGACAACATTTTCCATTTATTCTCTTTACTGTTGTTGGTTATTGCATCTATCTTCTTCACAAGTGAGATTTATCATCAAATGAACTGATGTCACTCACCAACCATCTTGTGGCCTGTATTAATTTGTCTTATCAAAAAGGAGATAATCACTCTCTGTGTCCCTACAATAGGTTTGGTTTCAAATTCCCAAAAGATTATCAGCCATTACAAATGCCTGAAAAAGGCAGTTAAAAATATTACAGTATAACGATCACAATGAGGACACCACTCGTCTGAGTAAATCAGTGTAAAATATTGAAATAATTTGTCATTTTTACATTATTTAGTATTGTCCTCATTTTTGTTGATCTCATCACCATATTTTGGCAATTGTGCCCTCTAGTCTTTATCAGGTCCCATTTGAAAATAGCCTAGTGGGTTAAAGTTTTGGCTTGTGAATTTGGTGACATAGTAATTGTGAGTTCAATCCTGGGGCCAGGTAGTGTAAACTTAGACTCTGTGTAATCAGGGTGAGTAACAGCTAAGCAGTACTAAATAAGAACTAAACAAAATATTCCTACACATTGTCAGTTGAATAAGAACAATCTACCTCTGTAGATTAAATAAAGGGTTCAGTTTGAAGTTTCCAGAAGGTTACCTAGATCAACAAGTGCCTGATGAAGGCCAGAGGTCAGAACAGCCAAAAGTTTATGATATTAAAAGCAAAGATGAGGACAATAATCCAAGTGTAATTAATGTAAGTAATAACTCCTCAACCCAGAAATTCAAACAAAAATGTTAATTTGTCATCTCAAAAATGTGTGTATTTATATTTATTTAAATGTAATATTGATAATTTTTCATTTGATATATTTGTTTTGTGATTTTGTTAATATTTATTTTTATTGTGCAGTGGAGAAAGTGGTGCTGGCAAAACAGTCTCTGCTAAATTAATCATGGCTTACATTGCAAAGATTTCAGGAGGTGGACCCACTGTGCAGGTAGGTTTTCTTTCTTTCTCGCTTTCTTTCTTTTTTTCACTCACTCACTCTGTTTATTTGTGACCATAACAAATAAAAACAACACAATTTCTTCTTAGCCTAATTATGTAAAAATGGGTTTTTCATGATTTTTTTATAATAAGAATAAGCAAGGAAGAATCCTTGAACTATCTGCACCCATTTTGTTAGCCAAAATGGCATACTAATGACAATAATTTAATAATAATAATAATATCTAGGTGTAGCTGACTTGTGCTAACAGAGTATTTACAACAGCAAAAAAATCTGCTCAGTACATACATTGGTCAATATGTTGCATGTTCAACCTCCTTCACAGAGAGATTTCGTAGGAACATAAGCCACTATAAATTGTACAGAATGATGAGATTACCATTCTCTTGAATTTCAGCATAGGTAAATTTGTAGGTAAATCAACCAGACATAATTTTGATTGATGTTGCAGACCCAGCCAACAAAACTAGCATCTTTGAAAACATTTGAGGTACTAGGTAAATACAAGAACCTAAAGATAATTTTACCTGTTATTGATAGGACTTTGGGAATAATTTCAAAAGGAGGAACTAAATATTGTGGGTTATATTCCTGGTAGCCCTAAAATATATAAATTGCTAAAAATCAGGTACTTCTCACATCTTGCAAATACTATACTCAATAATAATAATAATAATAATATTACAGAGATAGGATCTGTACCAATTTTATTGGACTTTACAATACACACAGAGAGAACGATCAAAGCTAATTGATCAGACATAGTGAACAAAGAATGTGCTTTCTTATTGACATGATGGTCCTTGCTGACTGTAATGTGTCTTTGACAATTTTAAAAAAAACTATCAAAATATAAGGATCTTGAAGTGGAAATGTCAAAAATGTGGTACATGAGGACATCAATAATTCCAGTTGTAATCAGAGTCCTCAGATTGATTGGAAAATTTTCCGATAGACTGATTGAAGAGATTCCTGGTAGCCCATGCCTTAAAGAAATACAAAAAATTGTACTCACAAGTACAGCTCACACATTACAAAAAACTTTATCTATGTAAAATGTGTGTGATCTTAGGATTTTTACAAAAATGAACAGAGAAAAATCTCATGAAGCATTTGTAACCTTAGATTTCTGGTTGGGACCCAAAAGGAAATGTGTATACAACAAAAATCAAAGGAAATAATAATAATAATTATTTGGAAGAAAGAAATGTGAAGGGATGATCTGTGCAGTGCAATAGCAATTTTAGAACAAATTTGATCAGTACATTAATGACAGAACAGCTTATTTATGATTGTGAAGGCTGTGTAGGAAAGCTACTGAAAGTGTGCAACACATTGTCAATGGCTGCACTCGACTGGCACAAAAAGAATACTCTTTCTTTTTTTTGACTAAGTGTGTTTTTGTTTTTTATGTCGACAATATGTTAAGGTTCTCAATAAAATAAGAATCTCTAGGTCAAAAAAAAGAAAAAGTTACTAATAAAAAGAGACAATGCTGGCACAGTTCATATATTATATTGGTATTATTGGTTTAAAAAAATTATTTAAAATAGATGGGATTTTGTTGAAGCTTAAATAAGCATGGAATAATACAACACAAAATGTACGTTAACAAAATGTATTGAAACAAAGAATAGGTACACAATATTTACAGTTAGTTTGGTATATTCTTGGGAAGACTGTTCCTGCATAATGGGTTGACTAAATCGCAGTCGGGCAGAGTCTCTGGATTCAATTTCTTAATCTCTACTATCTTCCCCGTCTTCCGGTACCAACCCATATTTATATGGTCGGTAGTCCGCTTATGTAAATTAGGTGTATCATACACAACAGATTTATAATTTATATTTAAAATAGATGAGGATTAAAGGTTTCAATTTATATTTAAAATAAATGGGGATTAGTAGTATTTTCTCAAAAATTGTGTATTAAAATAAACAAGCCTAAAAATATATATATAAAAAAATATGTATTTAAAATAGACAGGATTTATATTTTATATTTAAAATTAACGGCGATTAATAGTTTGATTTTTTATTTAAAATAAATAGGGATTAATGATATATTTTAAAAATACCATTAATTTCTGTTTATTTTAAATAAACTTTAAAGTTTGAAGATGGCTGATTCTGGGTTTAACAAAAGTGAAAAGATATTAAAGGAATTTGTTTTCTTTTTCGCAGAGAGTCAAAGAAATCATCTTGGAATCTAATCCATTATTAGAAGCATTTGGAAATGCCAAAACAGTCCGGAATAATAATTCTAGCCGATTTGTAAGTAAATTATTGATAATTATTCTAATTATTGTAATATATGTATCAATAATTTTTCTAATATGTGTATCAATATTTTTATTTTTTTTATATTTTAATATGTGTATCAATTTTTTTTATTTTTTTATATTCTAATATGTGTATAAATATTTTTATTTTTTAATATTTTAATATGTGTATCAATATTTTTCAACTGGTATCCAAAGGCATTCAATAGGGTAATCAGATCAGACATCTAGATAATCTTTGAGAAATTGTTTCGACCATCAAAATCTCTCATCGTGATCATCTAACTTCATGAGGCACAGATTTGCAAGTCAGATGTGGTAGTAAAACTTTTTGATTGTGAACAGCATCAAGCAAAGCTGTATGCTGCCCCCAGGTGCTCACTGTTTTCAGTAACCTTTGGTTTGATATTGAAACAAGCTATAGACGAGATGGATGACAGAGACAAATATACAGCTACCTGTACAAAATTAGCAACCTGGTCAGCATAAGACTTTGGTTGGAGAACTCTTTTATGTAACTCACTCAATAGTGACAATCTAGCAAATAATACATGGTTCTGCAAAGGTCATGGAATTCTGAAGCATAGACGTCATTTATAAATAAACATTAATCAAAATATCAGTTGGCTTCTCACTCCATCAACTTGACAAAGCTGGAAGTAGTTCAGTTTTTATTTATTCAATGAATGTCATATCCCTTGACATGAGACTAGACAGAGAAATATGCTACAGACTGGCCAAAATTAAGAAAATCTTTGGTAAGTTATACAAACTTATCTGAAATAACAAACTTTGTGAAAGACACAAAGCCACTGTGCTATTTACCCTTCTCTATGGTGCCAAATTCTTATTTTTTGGCACTACCTCTGTCTGCACCATTCTAAAAGCTCATTAGAGTGATTTCATTAACAAGGTTCTAGACTCAACCAATCTGGTGATTTTGCTATACATTTAGAGAATCTTGATAAAATTCACAGAAGAATCTGCAATGTTATTGGTCTTGACCTGTCATCTCACCTTCAGTCACTTTCTCATTGATGTAATGTAGCTTCTCTGTACCCTTTCTATAAATAATTTCATGGTAATTTTTCTGATGAACTTTCCTCTATTGTACCTAGAGTTTATGAATTTAAGTGCAGTATGAGACTGGCAGCAATGTCTCAACATTTTATAGTTGAAATGGCTAGATGGAACCATAAGTTCTATGCTAACAACTTCTATTGTACTTGTTGTACTTCACTTGTGGAATTCTCCTTAATACTATTTTTTCTCATACTCTTTAACATTCAGTAGCCCCCTTGTATCTTAGTGACTTTATTGCTTTGATTGGAGTGAAATTATTAAAAAAAGTGTTATAGCTATTCTTAAAAAATATTTCAAATGGGCTAGCTACATAGTGAGGAAAGATCCCAAAGACCACTCTTTTTGGAGAGCTCATTTTGGGGGGAAAGAGATCTGTTATCTCCCAAAGACCACCCTTTTTGGAGAGCTCATTTTGCGGGGAAAGAGAAATGGGTTCCACTAAATAGATACAAAGATTCCCTGAAAATGTCTTTGATCTGTGGATCCAATCACCATCATCACTAGGAAACAGAGGTAACCAACAAGGGGATATCAGGCCACCTCACTAAATAGGGGAAATTACAGACAAAGAGAAGAAGAAAAGGAAGATATCTACAATTCTGGAGACTCTGCTATCTGCCAAAACTTCCTTTATAACCAATGTGGAAAGACATGCCGCTCTCATACCAGTCTCATTAACTAACTAATTCTATTTTATACTAACTTATTATAGTCTATGGTGGATGTAGCACCCACCTCTTTTTTTGCAAAGTGAAACCATTATATATATATATATATATATATATATATATATATATATGTTTTAAGATATGCTATATTTCTGTGTAAAAGTGCTAAATATTAGTGATAGAGCATATGTAAATATAAAAGTGGATACTTACGTTAACACCAAGTGGTGACATGCTTGAATGCAATGTTCAGGCCATGTGTGTTGTATTTTGACTCTACTATTTATATATATTGGGCAATGGTGCATTATGGATAGCAAAGTCTTTTGTATTATCCTAATGGTTATTGGGTAGGTGGTGATGCTTATATTTCAATGTATTCTAGAGGCATATATATATATATATATATATATATATATATATATATATATATATATATGTATGTATTTTCTCTTGATGATGGCCATGTTGGTGGAAATTAGTCAAAGAACCTGAAATAATAAAACAAAATAATATTAATGTACAACCCAGTGTGTCTGAAAATTTTAATTTTTTAATATTTTGTATTGTTCAAAACATAACATATATATATATATATATATATATATATATATATATATATATATATATATATAGCAAATATAAAACAATTTGCAAAACTTATGTATAACAATAATTCTTTGTATACTGTGTTTTTATATACAATAAGTGCTATTCAATATTCTAGTATTTTCTATTAATATTTGTTTTACATTAATAATCACATTTTGATTTCTTGGGACATGTATATTGATATGCTTATGAATTTCACTAAGATTTAATGAGAGGTAAGTTAATCTATAAGAATGTGTTTGTTATGTGATCACTATAAGAATTTAATGTTGGTTTTGATTATTACTGTTGAAAATGCAATCTCCCAGAAGGTATGAGAATTTATTAACAACATTTCTTTTACATAAGGATGATTTTTGAGATCCTCAGATATTAGTAATAAATAGGTTTGGCATTTAAAATTTTTTAATAAATGAAAAAATTTGATTACTTTTTTACAAGCATTAAGTGATATATACTAATAAATTATATTTTTAAGTGATTTTTTTCATCTTTTTTATAATTTGGCTGCATCTGTTTACAAGAAAATAAATCAATAGTGTTTCGATTTTTGTTCATATCAGCATTGTTTGTCTATATTACTGAGATGCGGTATTGTAATTATTTACATTAATTACATTGTTTGGACTGTTGTCCTCATCTTTATTGCCATATTCACCTTCAAAATCTTTCTATATTTCTGAGATGAGGTAATGTAATTATTTACATTAATTACATTGTTTGGACTGTTGTCCTCATCTTTATTGCCATATTTACATTCAAAATCTTTCTATATTTCTGAGATGAGGTATTGTAATTATTTACATTAATTACATTGTTTGGACTGTTGTCCTCATCTTTATTGCCATATTCACCTTTAAAATCTTTCTATATTTCTTCAATGAGGTATTGTAATTATTTACATTATTTATATTGTTTGAACTGTTGTCTTCATCTTTGTCACATTCACCTCCATTTTTAATGAGGTCTTCCAGTTTTCCTGTATATTCTGATTTGTCCATCATTACAGTCACATTGCCTTTGGCAGTATAATGATGTTGTCATTCCTCTGTAGGGTTCTGATTGCCAGCCTCTCTAGTTTCATGATATTTGATTTGGGTGGCTTGGTATCTGTCTCACTTTCCATTTTAGCTCATCTGCCTCAGACTGAGGGATGTTCAAAGCTATTTCCTCGATTCGGGCAATGATGTCCAAGTATGGTATCCACCTGATGATTGTGGTGAAGTTGAGACCTTTGTTTAGTACTGACTCTTCAGAGGCACTCAGCTGGTGTTGACTGATGTTGATTACTGCCTTCACTGGTGGGTGGATGGTTGATGGACCTTGTGCATCATCTTTTGATCTTTGAATCTCTTTAATATTTGCACTTGGTGGGCCTTGACTGCATTGAATTCATGTCTGAAGAATTTATCCAGGTCATGCTGGATCCTCTTTTGGCTTTCTTCATTGGTAATTCTGCCTTGAGTGAATATGACAAGAAAGATGAGGACAACAAATCTTAATAATGTAAATAATTAGCATCGTTATCTTTCTTTAATTTTTTTAAAGTTAATTTTACTTACTCATGAATAAGCTGGTATAAGAAATTATTATTGATAAGTGCTTGTTTTATGTCAACTAATTTTTATAAAATAATGAGCTAACTTTAAAAAACATACTCATCCATATTCCTTATATATAGTTGAAAGACAACTGGGTGAAACATATCCAACAGATCTACTAAGAAAAATCCAGAACATCAGTTGGAGATCCCATGTAATACTTAAACACAATTTATGGAGAACTGAGACTAATTTCTCTTAAGCTGAAAATGAAAAACTGCATGGACAGAGAAATCATCTCATCCTTACTCCTATGGAATCCTTCTGGAAGTGTCTTCTCATGAAAACTGACTTTCCCAGACACCATAGCTTGGTATTCAGGGTTGGACATTGGTAATCTGGGGACAGCAATACAGGACTGAACAGTATGGAAAGGGATTATCTATGGAGTTTCAACCAACTATAGGGATGTTGAAGGATGATGATGATATATTGTTACATATCACTCTACATATGATGTAACTTGTATTCAATCAACATACATATTTAAATTAGAAATGTAGAATTTCTAAAACCTGCCAGGTTGAAGCTAATCTTACTTATTATAAAACGCAGGTTGTGTGTGTGTCTGTAATGTTTATATGTTGGATCGAATTTCCTACATTTTTTAGCCGATTTCAACAAAACTTCACAGGACTACATAAAATTACCTTGTGGTGGTTCTAATGGGGCCGAAAATGGGAAAAATACAGTTGTTTTTTAATAAAAATCAATTTGAAAACACGATTAAGACACATCGTGAGAATGAAAGGGGAGAACTCACCCACGAAAATGTAAACAAAAGAGCATAGCATGATGAAAAAGACGCCGAACTTGACGAAAACAAAATTTTATTGTCTAATGTTCATATTACTATTAAAGAGGAAAGATCAAAGTATTTTGGGGTATTTTTTTTACATTTTTTAATCGTTCCTAGCACGTCTGAAATTTTCGTTAAAAATATTGTTTTTTTTTTTTTTTTTTTTTTTTGGTCAAAAAAGGGCAGATAATCATTTTGAATCATTTTTTTCGATTTGATAAAAAAAATTAAAATCTTACTTTGATATTCTTTTTAAAAGTCAATTATCATTTTTTCAAAACTGATTTTAATAAAAACAGATATTATACTGTTTATTTAAAATATTTTGAACCAAGCTTAACTTAGCTTCTGCGCCGAAAAAATGTAATTTGAAAATAAAACAAAAGAGGTCATAACCTTTCGTCGCTTGACGATTGACGAAAGGCACATTCATGACGTTTAGATAACTTACGGGAGGAGAATTCTTTCTACGGATGGAAGGAAGTGAAATTATTTAAGTGAACAAATTATTTACCTTGTTACTTTTAAGGAAAACTTTCAGCGCTCTAATTTTTATTTTTTTTTTTTTTTTGTACTTAGCTTTCATTTTTTACGTTTACGATGCTTTATGGAAAATATAAAGAAATTAAAAATAAGACTGTTAATAGTGAAATTAAATTTCATAAGAAAAAGGTATCTAATTAATTTAGGTACCTTTCTTATGAAATTTTATCAAAAGTGTACATAAAATACTATAATTTTATGTACATTTATTACATTTTACTGTGTTATTTGTATTTCCATTCATTTTATTATTAATTTTGATATTTCATTTATGGAAAATGTCATAACTGAGATTAATATAAAAAATAAGATCATATAAATTAAAGTTTAGCAGTAGTTAAATTTTATAAGATGATACTGTTACTTGTAGGTACCCTTCTCAGTTGAAATTGAAAACTCAAATTAACTTCTCCATACGTGTTTTGAAAAAGTAAAGGGCTTAACAGCGGAGAACAATGCTGAACTCAAATAATGCAACTAAATTGTATTCTGGGTTGGTCTTCCGTACTAATCTGATTGGTCCAAATTATACAATTTTCAAAGCGCTAGACAATGACAATCTCACACGGACATTTTGAAAGGTTGATGTTGCTTTTAACTAATGTTAAAATATTTTTTTAAAAATTCAATTTAAACATTTTTAAAAATCTTTTAAAATTAAAGAAATAAGAAATAATTGTATTAAAATTCAATTTTCATTGAAAAATTTTTTTTGCTTTCAGAAAATATTGTCCATATTCATAAAAACAAATTAAAACAAATAAAAGCATTTGAAACTAAATAATATATTTGTTTTATTGAGTTTTGTATGTTACAATTCACAGCTGATTTTCAGGTACGTTGGCCAAAAAAAAAAACAAAAAAAACATGATTTGCATTCTTCAAAGCCTTGTGCTTTTAACTATTGTAATCACTAAAACCGATGGTCTCGAATTTCTAGAGTTTTTCATAAAATTAGTTATGGGGGTGTTAATAAATATAAAAAAATATTTCTGCCATGACTTTAATAAAAAAAAAAAATATTTATAATAATTTCGATCGTCTGTGAATAGTTTCTGAAAGTTTCATTAACATCTGACAATTATTTTTATTTTTGCAAGATTTTCCAAATTAATGTGTAAATACAAAAAAAATGCACTAAAAAATTATCTATGTTATTTACTACCCCTTGTTGCGACAAAGAGAAACAAGGTTTTTAAATCAAAATTTAGAATATTCTAAAAGATGGAAAAATTTTTAAAAAATAATTAAAAAAATTTAGTCTATCCTCTTCATAAAAAATAAGCATTTTGACGATAAAATTTTGTTTTCATAAACTTTGGCGTCTTTTTCATCAGACTATGCTCTATGTTTTAGCGATTCCGTGGAGTGACTTAGGTTAAAAAAACCAGGTTGTTTGTGTGTGTGTGTGTGTGTGTGTGTGTGTGTTCCTTTATATATGGGATCGGATTTCTTACATTTTTCAGCCGATAAAACAAACATCCACTTTTTTTTAGGCAGGTAGTATTTCTTATTGTCTTGCACACTTTTTTCTTTATTTACATTCAGAATGCTTTAAAAATTCCATTTACAAGACAATTGTTTATAATAAAATTCTATTCACCAATTGATAGACTCAAAACGATTGTAAACAATGTTTTTGTTTGAATTTAATTTGACCAATTCGTAAAAAAAAAAAAAAAAAAACTAATTAAGACATGCATGTCCGTCAACCTTAAACAATAATCTTTGTCAATTTAATTTTTCAGTCTTTATGATGGTCAATACTTGATCTATCTCTTACTGTTACATCCCCGGGCAACGCCGGGCTCTACTGCTAGTAAAAAATAAAATGTTAGAATTACTGATAATGACTAAAAATTGTCAATAATGGCTAGAGATGGTGCAATACAAAAACATTAAGAACTTTGGAAAGGAGTTCCATAGGCGAGAAGTGTGAGAAAAGAAATTATTACAATAGAACATCTGGTTGTATCTAACTGGTTCAACAGTAAAATAATGAGATCTTGTTTCTGATCTGGTAGAACACTTAAATTCATGAAGTCAAGACATCAAGGAAGAGAACTCATTAGAACAATTGCCATGAAAATATTCAGAGAAAAGACACAGGGAAAATGCATTATGGCAGTGAAAAAGTGACTGAAGTTGAGATGCCAGGTCAGCACTGATAAAATTACAGACACTTCTTTGAACTTTGTTGAGAATCTCAAAATATATAGCAGTGGCACCAGACCAGATATGGCAGCAATATTCAATGCATGGATGATTGTAGATTTATAAATATGCAACATGGATTCTGACAAGGAAAATTGCCTGGTATCAGGCCTAGCAATTGATTCAATATAATCATTCCACTTCATGTCAGTGTAGCCCAAGAAGGTGCAAAGAGTTTCTCTCCTCGAGGTTAACACCAGCTATGCTGATGACAAGTAGAAAAAGTTCTCTATGGTGATTAAAGTTTTGTTTTAGAGGTGTTAAAATTTACATTCCATTTCTTGCCCCAGTTAACCACTGACTAGATGCCCTTTTTGAGAGCAGTTACCAGTTTTACTTTGTCAAATCTGTTGGACTTGCTACTAAGACATTAGTAAATAGTTGTGTTATCAGCATAAATATTTATTTAAAACTTAGTTTTACCTGGATAGATATATCTATGTACATATGATATGTATTGTAAAATATCTATGTTGTAGTATAATTATTTTGATAAAATCATTTCCAAAATTTTTCTAAGACATTTTTTCTTTTTAAACATTATTAGTGTTATAACATTACAAGTTATAGTCTTTATAAGACTTCTTTCTCTTTAAAGATTATTATAGTGTTATAACATTACAAGTTAATTATGTTATAGTCTTTATAAGACTTCTATCTCTTTAAACATTACCAAATTAACAAAAATTTAATCCTTTTTCCTCTATGGCTGTTAATTTTTAATTCTTAAATTAACTATTTTGATTTACAATCTTAATAATTTTTGTTCTTTGTTTTATTTCTCTGTAAATTTGTTTCACTCTATTATCTGTGAACTTTCCAGTGTTTATTTTTTGAAGATCACTTCTTATAAAAAACGATATTTCAGTAATTAGTAAATTAAATTGAGAGTTAACATTTACTCCTGCTATAAATTAATTTAGCTGTAGTAAAAATAATAATTTTCTGTTTTTGATATTTTTTTTTATTGATATGAGAGCATAAGAAAAAAATGATTGGTTTTCTTTTTAGCATAACTCCATTGGAAAACATGATTATACTTTGTAATTCTTTAATATTTCTTTCTTTATATATTCAAATATTTTATTGTAGGGGAAATATGTAGAAATCCAGTTCAGTCGAGGTGGAGAACCAATTGGAGGAAAAGTATCAAATTTCCTTTTAGAAAAAGTAAGTTCTTTCATTTACATTCTCCCCATTTTAATTCTTTGAAGAGATTTTTTTTTTTTAAAATTAAATTGTAATTGTGAGATTAATGTTTCCTTTATAAGGAAACATTTCACATTCATTGTCCAAATAGTTAGCATTAGTTTTGGTTAAATTTTTAAAAATCTTTCTCTTAAAATAGTTATTAGAAAAATTAGGGTTTTCAATAAATATTTTTATGATTTCAATAACATTTTATAAAAATATATGTAAAGCTTTAACAAAATTGAAAATAGTCTGGCTACTTTGTGTGTTTATTAACAGTCCGCCATTGTCACCAGCACAGGGGAGATAATTCTAAACACGCATGTAGTCTAGAAAAAATATACATTCACTTGTTAATGAACAAATATTACGAACTTATTAAAGCTTGGTATGTTTTTTCTTTTTTACTTCTTTTTTACTTCTACTTTACATATTTCTTCAGAACATAGGCGATCATGACTCTCTACAGCTTCTTTTCTTTATTATTTGTGAATTACCATGACTGATTGGGAAAGTGGTTTCCAAATGCTTTCTCCATAGTTTTGAATAAAGAGTTTTCCTTCTCTTAGAGAGGTTGCCATCCAAAGTTAGAGAGCTCAGTCTACCCTTACCTTTCCCAAGAGCATTTGTGCGAAAGTGAATGCAACAGTCTAGGCTAGAATTTGAACTTGTTTTGACAATTTCATTTTTCCTGCTAATGACCATTTTGTTATGTCAACATCCATTGTTTCCTTTGTTAAACTCTTTTTTTCTGTTTTCTTTTTTAGTCACGAATAGTTATGCAAAACCAAGATGAACGTAACTTTCATATATTCTATCAGATGTGCTCAGGAGCAACAGAGGATGAAAAAAGTAAGTTATATTAATTTATCGTTGTGAATTTACTTGAAATCAAATTGGATTGGTTTTGTGTTTCACCATTTTACATGTTTGTCTCTAGAGAATTATGATAGAAAAATGTTAAGAACTATACTGCAGTTGAAAAAATAATAAAGTAAAAATGAAGATTCACGTTTTAATGAACAAATAATGAAGAACTTATTTACTCTTATTTCTCTTTTTTATGCTTTAATATTCTTGTTTCTTTATATATATATATATATATATATATATATATATATAGTGATGATGGATATATATATATATAGAGAGAGATGAATATATATATATATAGGGATGAATATATATATATATATATATATATATATATATATATATATATAATGAATATATATATATATATATATATATATATATATATGGATTAATTTATTTATATATATATATATATATAGGGATGAATATATATATATATATATATATGGATATATATATATATATATATATATATATATATATATATATATATATAGGATGATATATATATATATATATATATAGGGATGAATATATATATATATATATATATATATATATATATATATATATATATATATATATATATATATATATATATATATATATGTATATGAATATATATATGTATAGGGATGAATATATATATATATATATATATATATATATATATATATATATATATATATATATATATATATATATATATATATATATATTTTTTTTGTTTTCTTTTTGAATTTGTAGGTCTGATGAATTGGATCATATTTAATAATTCCAATGGAATAAATTATGACCATGGAATATTAGTGTTTAAGCCATTTTATTATATACATATAAATATATATATATTTTAAAACATTTTTATGTTTAACAGTCTTTTTTATATATATATAAGGAAGAATATATATATATATATATATATATATATGGAAGAATATATATATATATATATATATATATATATATGGATATATATATATATATATATATATATATATATATATATATATATGGAAGAATATATATATATATATATATATATATATATATGGAAGAATATATATATATATATATATATATATATATATATATGGAAGAATATATATATATATATATATATATATATATGGAAGAATATATATGTATATATATATATATATATGGAAGAATATATATATATATATATATATATATATATATGGAAGAATATATATGTATATATATATATATATATATATATAAAAATTTATATAGATAATATTAGTAGTAAATATGCACATACATATGCAAAATATATAAATATAAATACATAGATGCATACACATACATATATATTTTTTGAATAAAAAATTCTAAGAGGATAGAATCCAGGCAGAACTCAATGTCCAGGACAGTGTAAGGATATAATAAAAAGGCTTAAACACTAATATTCCATGCTCATAATTTATTCCATTGGAATCGTAAATATGATCCAATTCATCAGAACTACAAATTCCAAAAGATGGAAGAATATATATATGTATATATATATACATATGGAAGAATATAGATATGTATACATACATATATATATATATATATGGAATAATATATATATATATATATATATATATATATATATATATGGAAGAATATATGTATATATATTAAATACATATAAACTAGGGTTAAATAAAAGACTTGGGTATTTTAAATCTTTATAAATATTTCAATAGTTAAAAATTTTTTTAGATATAGTTAAAAAAATTTTTTATTTTTTTAAATAACATCTAAAATATTATTACAGTTAGACGGACGCTACTTGTAAACAAACCTCTAAAAATAGTTATTTCTGAAGAAAGATTGAGGTCCATCTGAAATATCAAATATATATAAATAAATACTTTCATAAAAAAACATTTTGTTTTTAATTTGCAACTTTTTCTATATTAAGAAAGTATACGTGGCTTCTCACTTATATATATATATATATGGAAGAATATATATATATATATATATATATATGGAGAATATATATATATGTATATCTATATGGAAGAATATATATATATATATATATATATATATATATATATATATATGGAAGAATATATATATATATATATATAGGGATGAATATCTACATTGGACATATGGATAAATTTATTCTAACATATATATATATATAGGGATGAATATATATATATATATATATATATATATATATATATGATGAATATCTACATTGGACGTATGGATGAATTTATTCTAACATATATATATATATATATATATATATTGATGAATATCTACATTGGATATATGGATGATTTTATTCATATATATATATATATATATATATATATATATATATATATATATATATATAGGGATGAATTTATGATTAAACATTAAATTTTGTAATTCTTAAAAATTTCTATAACAAGCTTTAGCATTATGTCTGAGTTTAAATAGAATAGGATTGAAAGTAGTCAGGAATGAAGGAAATTTAATTTTTTTTAATTGTTTTACACCAATCAATGTGATAATGGTGTTTGTTTAACTCTTTGTATAAACTCTTATTGAGGTGTTTGAAATATAGTTTGTCAGTTTATGTGAAAGATTGTATGTTAAAGTTGTTGTGATGAAAAGTTCACAAAGTCTGTGAAAGTATTAATCTGCTAACGTGGAATTTAAACAGTTTTGTGCAATGTAAATTTTCAATGTAGTTTGGAATAAATTTAGTCGTGGTAAAAGTTATCTTCCTTTGACTGTCTTTTTTCAGGAAATAATGTTGAATTGAGCAAATGTAGAAGAGAAATAATGTTCTGTGGTTTGGAACTTGAAGTGATAAGCAATTCTCTGCTCTGTAATAAACGAAGTTGAATATGAAGATGAGTGAGAGATGTTTGAAGGTTTGGATTATGTTAAAAGGTAACTTTAAAAACTTCAGATGATAAATTGATGTGGATTTACTTAGCAACTGGTTTGTGGTCACGATGCTCACTAGCGAGATGAGTTTGTATGCTGAATTTATTTACTTGCGTGTAAACGTGATAGGTTCCAGAAAATTAGCACCAAAATATTTAACTCGATCACAAGATGAAAAATAGATGTGTGTGGGTGGATGGCAACACCCACTTTCTTGTTTATGAACCAATCAGCAAGTGAATTCTTGGAAAATCTCATAGTGATCCACTTTTAAATGGTGTTTGCACTGAAGTGTAGAATTATGATTCTGCAATGTCATTATTTTCTCTTTGAGTTACATATGTTATTCATTTTAGTTGTTACTGATGTTGGTAGTCCACATGTGATGTGGTTTCTGTTAAGACAAGCATTGTGTATGTATTTGTGTGTGTGCTATTTTTTTTGTGACAAATGTTTTCAATTAGAATATTGCTGTGTTATATGACGTTGCAATATCTTTCATTGAACATGTCATTTTATTTTTCATAATTTGATTATTGTTAATATTTTCAGTGTTTTGATTTTTTTTTCACTTTGTTTTTTCAGCTAATCTTGGAATCACCAGCCTGGACTATTATTCTTATCTGAATCAAAGTGGAGTCTATGTCGTTGATGATATTAACGATAGCAAAGATTTCAAAGAAACAATGGTATTTATCTATCTTATTTTTATCACAGTATTTTCAAATAGTTCATTTACCTAGAGAAGATCTAATTTCTTTTAATTTTCACATGTTTATTTTTAATTTCATATGATTATATTATTTAGAGATTTCTGGTTTTTCAATGGATATTCAGCTGATGTAATGGACAGTGGCTCGGAATGAGAATTTACAGAGCCAAATTTAAATTCCTGTCAATTTCATTACATTCAGTTACATGTAAATACCCTTGGGAAAAGTATGAATTTCTTTCTTTCCTGTAGCTATGGGTTAAATAGTAGTAATTATAACTAGCTATTCTCAAAAAATTGTTAATGCAATAATTAGCTGCAAAAAAAAGTATGTATTCTTATAATCCAAAATATGTTTTGGCTTTAAATAACCCACAAAGGGTTGATAAGTCATAAAAAATGAACCAACCAATCAATCAATCTGATTTTCCAATCTTTTAAGAAACTAAGATAAATATTCTTAAGCTCTAAAAATAATTAAGTTTAAATTTCATTTAATATTTAAGAAATAAATTTACAGAAATTTATGATGGGATATTTAAAAAAAATATTCTAAGTATCCTATCTAAATTCAGGTCCTTCTCACTTTTGATGGAATGACCCTCCCTGATTGAACATACCATCAGAGGTGTAGCTGTACTCACCACACTTGGCTATGTAATATAAATCCTCCTATATGGCAGGATAATTTGCTGAAAGATGAAAAGGAGATTTGAAGCAATAGAAACAAAGAAAAGAGTGCTGGAGTGCTGAACTTCTATATACTATCAATCCTCATATATGGCAGCACAGTTTCCTCATAGATAAAGAGGAGACGAAGCAATAGAAACAAAGAAAAGAGTGCTGGAGTGCTGAACTTCTATATACTATCAATCCTCATATATGGCAGCACAGTTTCCTCATAGATAAAGAGGAGACGAAGCAATAGAAACAAAGAAAAGAGTGCTGGAGTGCTGAACTTCTATATACTATCAATCCTCATATATGGCAGCACAGTTTCCTCATAGATAAAGAGGAGACGAAGCAATAGAAACAAAGAAAAGAGTACTCAACTATTATGTAATATCAATTCTCCTATAAGGCAGTGAGTGCTGGACAATTTTCTCAGAGAAAATGAAAAAGGAAGAACGGTATAGTTGAAATTCGATGTTTATATACAGGAAATGTTTGGCATTGCCTTACTGGGTAATTAGTATTGGTTTAAATTTACAAAGCACTTTAAAACGAAATTTAAAGCAAATTAGCTTTCTCAAGTCCAGTAATGTTTATTTTATTTTTTCATTGAAATTACCACAAGCAAGGCAGTAATGCCACTAAAATACAATGGGTTACAGGGTGTGGAAGAATTAGGAACAGAAACATTAATGATGAGCAGGAAAATAAATTAGCAATCAGGTTGACTGTAGATGGTGATTGACAATGCATCTAAATTTTTGCAGATTAAAGTTGGCTGGAAAGCATGGAGTTGGAAGGGTGTTCCACAAGTGAGAAGTACGAGAGAAGAAACTGTTAGCATAGAATTTATGGCTACATCTAGGCAGCTCAACTGTAAATTGATGAAATGTAAATTTTATCACTCTTTCTAGTGTTGATGGTAGTTTCCATCCAAACTTTTTGTTTTAGTCATGTGTAAAGCTAACAGCTTGATTACATTTTCCTTTCTAGTTACATGTGTTACCTATTTTTGTTGTTGCTGCTGGAATCTTCAATTGATGTTCTTTTTGATTTTGTATACTCACGGGATGGATAGAGGGCAAGAGGAACAGAGGATGAAAACCTATAAGCTACTTAGTAAGATTGAATAAATGGATGGCGGAAAAGGGATTGGGAAAATTAACAGAAACTCAAAGTTTATTAAGAGCTCCAAGGGACAGGAAGTTGTGGAAAGCCATGATCTCCTTCACCCTGAGGAGACATAGCACATAAAGAAGAAGCACTGATCTATAAGGTCTGATGAAATATTTTCTTTAAAATTTATTCATTTGAAACCATTTTTAATTATTGATCTGAGGAAATGGTTGTATTCAGATGATAATATAGACATTTCTGAATGAATTGGATGCCATGCTTGATATTCATACAAAAATCTAGGCTATTTAAGAACATCTTGCATTTCAGAACTCAATATTTTGGCCAAGAACTTTTTGTGTTACTCTCTTTTGTTTAAATCCTATTAGAAATATGCAAATGGGATTGCTGAAATACATTGCATTTACATTTATCATCATTCAAGCCATTCGAAGACTGTATATCCACCGTCAAGAAAAGAAAGCTGAAATGGTATGGCCATAAGAACCAACAATCTTTCTGCTGCCATTCTACAAGGTACCATCTTAAGCAAAAAAAGGGGCAGACAGAAGAAAAAAATGCACTAACAATGTCACTCAATAAACTAGAAGATCATTCATAGAAACTCAGACATTTGCATGCAACCTAGAAATATAGAAGTAGCAGGTCAGATGACCCTAAAACCACACCCAGTCACAGGACTGATGAGATGAGAAATTGCTGAACTCTATAACAGCATTTTATTTCATGAGGATCTATTAAATTTGTAAGAATGTAAATCTTGTTGTTTTCTTACAGCATGCCATGCAAGTTATTGGCTTGACAGATGAGGATCAGTTCAGCATCATGTCTCTAGCTGCTGCAGTTTTGCATTTGGGAAATATTACTTTTGAAGAAGAAGGTAACTACGCTTTGGTCAGCGTTAAAGAATGTAAGTATTAAAGTATTTTTATTTCCATTTACTCATTGCATTATATAAATTCTTGCAATATATTTTGATTTACTCATTCTTGATTCACAAGTTATTTACTTTTTTTTACTAAATTTCCACCCTTTACAAGATCCAAGAGCCACTCAAGGTAGAGTGTTATGGAATGAGGTTGTTGTATGGATAAAATTAAGTGTGGATTATGAGGATATATGTAAGATAGATAATTAAAAATAAAGAAATAGCAGTCAATAAACAGGAATGAGGGATTATTCATTGTTTTAAAAACAATTTTTGACATTCTATTGTTATTATAAAATCTAAATTCTGAAGAATAGACAGCATAGCAGAATTAGACTGGAACAGTGTGGTTTAGTTAAAGACACTGGAAGAAGGAATGTAATATCTATGCCCAGAACAAGCAATACAAATGCAAAAGGATGTATATCTATGTTTTATAGATTATGCAAAAGTGTTTGATAAGGAACAGTACAAATAACTGTTTGAACTGCTGGGAAAACTTTATGTATTTAATAAACATATTAGAATCATCCAGAATTTATACTGGAAGAAAGCTACCTGCACATAGATGGAAAATGGATTGAGCAAGTACACAAAAATAAAAAAGGGTATGTGTCTTCTCAGTCAGACTTATCCTCCCTATAAAGTGAGGCAATCTTGAGAGAGCTATAAGTCCTACCAGGATTTATTAGTGGACACAATCTTAAAAATATAAGATTTTGAAGATGGCACAGTGTTGTTAGCAGACACAGAAAGCAAAGTGCAGGAACTATGAGAGAAGTTAGCAATGGAAGGTGAGAAGAAAAGACTGAACATTAATTGTAAGTATACAGAATGTATGGTTGTCAGCAAGAGGAACAGCCTCAGATGCAAACTACGAATTGGAGGTAGTAAAAGAAAGCAAGATGAAAGGACTAACTATCAATGGCAAGAAAACAGAATGTATGGTTGTCAGTAAGATGCAAACTATGGATTGGAAGTAGTAAAAGAAAGCAAGAAGAAAGGATTAACCATCAATGGCATGAAGACACATTGTATGGTCGTCAGCAAGAGGAATGGCACAAGATGCAAACTATGAATTGGAGGTAGTAAAAGAAAGTGAGAAGAAAGGATTAACCATCAATGGCATGAAGACACATTGTATGGTCGTCAGCAAGAGGAATGGCACAAGATGCAAACTATGAATTGGAGGTAGTAAAAGAAAGTGAGAAGAAAGGATTAACCATCAATGGCATGAAGACACATTGTATGGTTGTCATCAATGGCAGAGGAATGGGTCACAAGATGCAAACTATGAATTGGAGGTAGTAAAAGAAAGTGAGAAGAAAAAATTAACCATCAATGGCATGGCAAAGACACATTGTATGGTCGTCATCAATGGCATGAATGGGTCACAAGAATGCAAACAAACTATGAATTGGAGGTAGTAAAACTAAGTGAGAAGAAAAATTAATCATCAATGGTCGCGAGAAACAATGAATATAGTAAAAGAAAAAGTTTAATCATCAATGGCAAGAAGACAATGTATCGTTGTCAGTAAGAGGAATGGCCCAAGATATGAACTATAAATCAGAGACTTCACAATCAAGCAAGTATGAAAATTTAAATATCTGGGAAGTGTTTTTATGGAGGATAGAAAATGTGACACTGAAATCAAAAGATGCATTCCAAAAACTAAGCAATGTATCAGGAAACTGAAAATTTCATTAGAAATAAAGAGAAAAGTTCTAAATTGTTATGTAATATCAGTGCTATTATAAAGCTGTGAATGCTGGTCAAGATCCTCATAACTTAAGATGAGACTTGAGCAAGAGAAATGTTGTTCTACAGAACTATGCTGAGAATATCAGATACTAAACATGTGAGTTATGGGGTAGTTTTAAGGAAAATGGAAAGAAAAAAGATGCTTATACTTAGAATCAGAAAGAGACACTTGAAATTTCTCAGATAATGAGGAAAATGGAATTGGAGAATTTGACATTTACAAGACATATTAAAGGCTAGAGGGACAGTGTGAAATTGATTAACCACTCTAACAAGTGTGTTTAAATGGATGGTAGTACAGGGAGTGGGAGGGATGGTAAAAAGACAAATCTTACAAATAGCTACAAAGCATAGGAAATTGTGGAGAACCATGTTCGCTTAAGTTCTGAAGGGATACAGCACATTGAAGAAGATGAACAACAACAATAAATCAAAAGTTAATTTTTTCCTTATTTCTTTTATACTCACAATGTGTCTCACTAATATTTACAAAATGACAAAAAAAACTAAGTTGCCCCTAAAAAGTTTTGCTGACTTCTCTTACTCCGGCAGATGCTAGGACTCACATAGACTGCCTATTATCTTTTATTTATACCTAGCACTTAGACTTAGTAGCCAATGGTGTTATACTCCCACTGAAATTAGATCTCTTTCTGATTCAGTCTATATATCAACAAGATGTGAATGCTAAGAAAGTAAAACACAAAATAAAAAAAGTTGATTTCTCCACAGGGACTCTAAGCATCACATCCAGTCCCTGAAACAAACCCCAGCAATAAAATACAATAGCTAATCATGAACGTTTTGAAAAAAAGATGACCCTGGGGACCACTAGATTTACTTAAAAGAAAGCTCCTTGAAAATGACCAACATAGTTGCTGGCCACCTGTACATTTTCACTATCCAGCTCCAGGCCTCACTTATTGTCAATACCCTGACCTTGTTTGGTTGAATTCCACCTTCACTATCCACTCCAGGCCTTCCTCATCATCACCACCATGACTCCATTTCATTGGTATTACTTTCGACCCAAATCCAACAAAATATTCTGTTTGATCAATCTTCACTTTCCACTCCAGACCTTCCTCATCATCAACCCAACAACTCACCTTACATGACTCTGCCAGCTCATCAAACACTTCCCAGATGCTGATTTCAACCTTAAAGAAAGGTGTATGTTAACAACACTAATGACCTCAATCAGACAATCTAAAAAACAGTTAACTCCCAGCCTTACTGACAACACCCTTACACCTAATCGTTTTCCTTACCATTGGCAACTATGGACCCACATATGACTAATTTCACACATGTATATATTCTTAATTTTGACGAATACACACTTTTGAAATTTGAATCCTTGTTTGTTCCTTTCCTTTGCAACCAAAAGCTCATTATAACAACAATAAATACATATGGATGTTTAAGTGAAAAATGTTTGCCTTTATTTGAATGTGTGTTACTTGAACAGTATAAAATTTCTAATAACTATGTATACTTAAAAGCTGAAACTTAGATTAATAATTTGATAGATGTTTTAAGTTCTGTAATATTTTTCTCTTTCTCCATGAATTATATTAAGTAAATTTGATTTTAAGTTGGTATCCAATCAGTGGAGATATTGTATCTTATTAATAATTTTCAATAAAATGTTCTTTCATTTTTGTCTGGAACTGATTAATTAATAGGATATGATCTAATTATGTTTCTGCTATAATTTGAATTTAATTTGTTCATTTTACCAAATCTTAATGTAAATTTTAAAAGCTTTTCTTCACAAATACTATATGGTAAGGATTTTCAATTTTTGAAATATTTTTAAATGTTTTTTTAGTGCAAAATTTAATTGCAGCCAAAATTAACCTTTCTTATTATTAGTGTCAAAAAAATGACAGCAACATGGAAGCAATTTCTCAAATGCAGTCATTATATTTTCTGCATGTGTAATCTAGGATTTTTATTTATACGCTTAACTTTATTCTTGCATATAAAAAGACATTGTAAATCACCACAGTTAGAAAGAAATTTAACACAAAAGAAAAGAAACAAAAGCAATGTATTATTAACGTGTCGCCCCTACTTACTAATGAAATATTCTGTTATTATGGTAACACAATTCATATTTTCTCAGACTTTTTTTGTTACTATAATGTAGTAGGATACTGAGAATATCATGAATCAAGCATGTGAGCAATGATGAGGTCTTGGAGAGGATGCAAACAAGGAGGAAGCTTATGCTTAACATAAAGAAGAGGCAGATGAAATTTCTGGGACATGTGATGAGAAAGGAGAGCCTGGAGAATCTGATACTCACGGGACGAATAGAGGGAAAAAGAGACACGGGAAAACAGTGCATGGCATACATGGCAGGTGGATGGTGGAGCATGGTCTGGGGGGGGGTGTTGGCAGAAACACAAAACCTGTTGAGAGGTACAAGGGATGAGTAGAAGTGGAGGGCCATGATCACCTACATCCCAAAAGGACATGGCACATAAAAAGAAAGAATGCAGTATCTCATTACTAAGAAGTAGGACCAGGTTGCATGATTGATAAATATGTAAAATGTTTTATATTATTGAAGGGATGATTTTATTATTGATCATTATTAATTGATTTTATTATTTATTATTTATTTATTATATTATTAATATTATATATATTTATTATATTATTATTTATTTATTTTATTATTTATTTATTATTTTCATTATTTATTGATTTTATTTATTTATTATTTTCATTATTTATTGATTTTATTATTTATTTATTATTTTCATTATTTATTGATTTTATTACAGTCTTGGACTTTCCTGCTTTTTTGTTGGGAATTGACAAAAATTTGCTGAATGATAAATTAACAGGACGAGTAATGGACAGTAAATGTAGAGGCAAGTCGGAAAGGATTGAAATGAAACTGAATGTTGACCAAGCCATTTACACACGAGATGCCTTAGCCAAGGCACTTTACAACCGATTGTTTGATTATCTTGTTGCGGTAAGGTCTATACAAAGAAATGCTACATTGTTTTGTCAGCATGCGCACTGATTGCTTTGACTATGTGAATGTCTAAAGTAGTGTTTCTAAACTTTTTTTTACTTCAGGGCTGCACATTTTTAAAATAACTAAAACTCTGGGGGTGCACTTTAAATTTTGATAAGGAAAAGTTAGTAATGAAGTTTGAAAATAGGAAAATAATAAATAAGGCTCTTGAAATAAGTGATTATTTTTAAAATATTACATTGTGTATTTAAACATGCCTGTGGAAATCTTGATGTTCTTAATGAAGAAAATTACCTTCATTAGGCAAAGAATGACTATTTCCACATTTTATTTAAAGGAATTAATTTTTTTATGTTTTCTTATGTTTAACCGTTATCTTTTGTGTGTAGTAGTAATTCAAATTTGGATTACTACCATACACAAAAGACAATGGTTAAGCATAAGGAAACATAAAAAAAATTAATTCCTTTAATAATGTTGAAATAACCATTCTTCACCTGATGAAGGTCATAAGATCTGAAACGTAGCAAAAATATGGAAAATAATGTATAATATATAAAAAAAAATTGACATTATGACCCAAAACATCTCATTGGAACAACTATAATCTCTCCTTTAAATATTTGTGTGTGTGTGTGTGTATAGATATAAGTGTGATTATAAACTAAATAATGAGATATTAGCAACTATATATACATGTGATAACGTACATATACAGGTGAGCAAATAAATATTTATTTAATAAATGTAAACAAAACATTGCTCAGTGTAGTTAAACAGTGCTATAAAGTATATATTTGTAAGTTCACCTATATCTTCATTTGATTGTGTAATAGATTTTAGTGCCATGTGGCTATTACAATGTAATTACTCTTCAGTAATAAATCTTATTTAAATCACAACAAAATATAATTATTTATTTACTTTTACCAGATTATATAAAAGGTGAAAATTATATAAAAGGTGAATAACCATAAAAAATGTAATTCATATATAATTCCTAATTGTTTTAATGAAGGGTTATGACTTTTGAATAAAATGCAATACTTAAATTTCCAAGTAATTCCACAAGAAAACTTACGAGAATTTTCCAGATGGATGTCACCAAAATATTTTTCCAAATAATTGTGTTAAGTCATATAACCATAATTTTTTAGCGACAATACATAAGAAATTCTTCATGAATAAGAAAAAAAGAATTCTTTTGATTTGTAAAAATATTTTGCAGGCCATCAACAAAGCAATGGAAAATCATTCTAGTGTCGTCAATGTCGGCATCTTGGACATTTATGGATTTGAAATCTTTGATAAGAATGGATTTGAACAGTTCTGTATTAATTACGTTAATGAAAAGCTTCAACAAATCTTCATTGATTTGACATTGAAAGCTGAACAGGTAAGATTAAGACTCATTTGACAAATTTGCAGTTATTTGTTTATATTTAGCACCAAAATCAAATGACAGGTGATAATTTAGTATAATTGTTATCAACATGAGAAACTGCAGTCAGTAAATCAAGTTTAAATTTCATCTGAGGTTGTTGACATTCAATTAGCATTAATGTCCTTAGAGAAGGCATGAACCTATGTACTTTATTTCATTGCCAGATAACTTAGAAAATGTCTTGTCATTGGTATTCAAACTTTATTATAGTTGACACTTCCTATTTGAAATAGACCCTCCAACTTCAGTTTCCATTCTTGATAGAGTCCAAAAGTGTCTCCACATCCTTGTGGGTGATAAATTATTATCCACCCTACAACCTTTTTCTCACAGACAATATGTTGCAAGTCTCTCCCTGCTCTATTGCTATTTTCACAGAGAGTGTTCAGATAAACTACACTGCTTAGTCCCACCATTCTATTGGTCTGGGTATTTGAGAAATCTAAGTAAAGAAAATGTGTTTAATAAATAAAAATGGGGCTTCTATTTCAAATATGCACTGTCCACTATAATAACATTTGAAGTAATCTAAATGTTGGTTCAATGCTGTCTAAAGTATTTTTTGGTCTATCTATCTAGAAAGATAAGGCAAGGATCAGAAAATCCATGTTTTCCCACCTCACCTATGGATTAAATAGCAGAGCGGATTAGACCACCTAACCATGCAGCCAGTCTAAGAGAAGAAAAAAATCAGAATATAAAACCTTGGAGAAGGCAATGTGAAATCATTCCACTAGCTTTCACAAAAAATCATGACAATTGAGATAATAAAGAAAAGGCATCTGTGGAGAGCCATGATTACCTTCATCCTAGTGGGTCATAGCAATTCGCAGATAATAAAGAAAAGCAATCTGTGGAGGGACATGATTATCTATGTCCTCAAAGGTCATGGGATTTTAAAAAGTCATAAATTAACTTAAAAGCAAAAATTCTTACCAACTGTCCTTGCTGTATATTTTCCATTTGGAATGCATGTAGCTCAAAAACCAGAAACTTCCCCTTCACACACACATATATATATATATATATATATATATATATATATATATATAGTAACATTTACACTGGTAAATATATACAGATTTTGAATAGTTACTTTTTTTCATTTCTCATTGCATAGTCATTGTAAGTTGGTTTGAAGGGATTTTCTTGTATTTTTTAATTTTGTTTTATCATTATCTTTTGACCATATGCTCTCTGGTTTTCTTCAAGTGTCTATTGTGTTCTGGAATATCAAATCTTGCTCTGATAGGGCACATGTTCCTTGTCTTAGGCTTGTCACACAGGCACAGCCATTCAGTGTGATATGTCTAGAAGGTGGGTATTGTATTCCCTTTCAGGGCAAAGTCAATATTCCAGCTCACAAGAAGATCAGTGTGTGTATAGTTGAATTATTATGATAAAACAAGAAAATTAATGAGCCCCAACTGTCACAATTTTTTTGGTTTGAAATAATTTAAACAGAATGGTTTCTCACTGCACCTGCTTGGTCTCACATTTTCCACCGACCTGAGATGGAACAATTATATTGAATCAATAGCTTCATCTACTGCAAGGAAAGTTGGTTCTCTGTATTGTGCCAGAAGGTTTTTCTTGCCTGAGTCCATCCTTCAAATCTACAAATCTACTATTCATCCATGCATGGAATACTGTTGCCATATATGGTCTGGTGTCCCGGCTGTTCATCTCAATGTTCTCAACAAAATCCAAAGACGGATATGCAATATGATCAGTCCTGACTTGGAATCTCAAATTCAGTCATTTTCTTACAGACATGCTGTGGCTTCTCTCTGTCTTTTCTACATATATTTTCATGGCAACTGCTCTGATGAGCTACTTTCACTAGTACCCAAACTGCATGAATTTAAGTGTTCTCAGTTGGCATCTTGGTCCCACTCTTTTACTGTTGAAATGGTTAAATGTAGCCATATCTTCTACTCCAGCAGCTTCTTATCTCGCACTTCTCAATGGTGGAACTCCCTTCTCTGATAGCTATAATTTTCAAATATTCAAATGTAATATCCATTGACATCTTCTGATGCCTTGATCTCATTCTCTGTCCTTTTCTTTAACCTTTCCTCAAACATCCCACTTTACTCTTACTCTCACTCTCTGTAACCCCCCCTGTGTGCTAATGGCATTCCTGCCTTGCTTAAAAAAAAGGAAGAAGAGCTCAGTTGTTTAAAAAATGTAATGTCAATCGACATCTTCTGATGCCTTGATCTTGATCTCCGTCCTTCCCCTCTTTACTCTTGCTCTCACTCTCTGTAACCCCTTGTCTGCTAGTTGTACTCCTGCCTTGCTTAAAAAAAAAAGATCTCAGTTGCTTAACTGAAATGATCAGTAGAGCAAGAAATAAAATTTATTTTCTATTTTCATTTTGTTGTTCTAGGAAGAATACAAAGCTGAAAGCATCCAATGGAGCCCAATTGATTATTTCAATAATAAAATTGTTTGCGATTTGATTGAGTCCAAAAAGCCTCCTGGTGTATTTTGTATCCTTGATGATGTCTGTGCAACAATGCATGCAGTTAATGAAGGAGCTGATAACAAATTGGGTGATGTAAGTTGTTTCATCAGTTTATTTAGAATTCAAAGTAATCTTTGTCTACTTACCCTGTTCCACTTTCTATTTATTCAAAATGAACAATTACTTTCTATCTTTAACTTTTCAGTCATCAAGCCTGTTCAAATTTGAAAATAGTCATATTGAAGTATAAATTTAAGTTCATTTTCTATTTCTAAATCAATTTCTTTTGATCTTCTTTAGTTTGTAGAGAACTAGGAACTACATCTTTGAATGGACACAGTTGCTGTTGGTCGCTAGTTTGTAACAAAATGTATTACATTGTAATGGATGCATTTGTTTTAGAATTGTGACAAAATAGATTGAGAAATTTTTGAAAGAAACAAATTCAACTCAAAAACAAATGAATTCAACATGGGAGAAAATAGAATAAAAAAATATTTATGTGAAAACAGATACCTCAAAAAAGGAAAGAAAGAATTATATTTATATGAAAACAGTCAACAGAGGAGAGTAAAAATTATATTTTAGTGAAAACAGCTTACAAAAGATCAACTTCTATTGATGTTTATATCAGTTTATTATAATGCTTTCAATGAAGATTAAGATATATGGTTATTAGTTCAGGTATTTAAAACTTTTTCTTTTATAATGTTTTAAAGAAAAACTTGAAAAATCTGTATAAATTATGATTTCGTAAAATGAAGACAGATACAAATTATAATAGACACATTATTAAAACTTCATAGAGTTCAAAAGTGCTTACACGGCCCTGTGGGTGATTAATTATTCTTTACTTTGCAATCCTTATCCTACAGATACAACATTGCTAGCCCTTTAATACTCTATTGTGATTACTATGGCAAACCTTTGGACAAGTTACATTCCTTAGTTCCACGAGCTCAGACTTTCACAACTAGTACCTACAATGCCATGTCCATGGTGGCAAACCTTCCCTATGCCCTTCATATTCCTTTGATAAAAGTTCTACTCAGACAGCTTCTCCTCCAAAACTATTGATTTGTAAAACAACCTACCAAGTGGATTCTTCCCTGACGGCTATAATCTTGGTCTGGGGTCAACTGATATCTATCCTCATAATATACATTTCTTACTTCCCTCTTACCCCTCCCTTTAAAAAATCTCACTTGGTAACCCTCTACCTTGAGTGGTTCTTGAGTCTTGTGAACTAACATTATAAAAAAATCACAGTTTGGTTTCAGTGAGAAGATGAAAAAGAGAGAAGATAGAGGAGGTGATAATTCTTTCATGCATTTAACATACAAAAGAAACCATCAAGTGGTTTAACAATATTACAGATAAAAATAACTACACTTTCATTCAAGTAGACATCAAAGATTTTTATCCATCACTTACTGAAAATATATTGAATAAAGGGTTAGATTAACAAAACAGAACACCAACATTCAAGAATACTTACATATAATTAAACATTGTAGAAAATCTCTATTATGCTACAACAATAAAATATGGTTAAAAAACACAATAAAAATAATTTTGATGTAACAATGAGTAGTTTTGATGGAGTATTTACAAATTAATAGGACTATATATGACATATAATTTATCAGATATGATTAATAGAAAATATATATAGAGATAATGGTCTTATAATTATAAGAAATTGCAATGGTAGAAAAATAGAAACAATAAGAAACATAATAAAAATATTAAAAAATTTAAGATTTATAATAGACATAAGTTCTAACTTAAAAATAGTACATTTTCTAGATATAACATTTAATTTAAATAACAATACATACAAATGATATAACAAAACAAATAATAATTCCATATACATAAACAAAAATTCAAATCACCCACCTAATCTATTCAAACATATACCAATATCTGTTAATAAAAGAATCCCTATTAATTCTAGCAATGCAAAAATACTTAATAAAAATAGACAAAAATATATGAATCAGAATTAAGAAAAAGTGGATACATGAATAAATTAGAATATATAATTACAAACAATACATGAAAAAAATAAAAGAAAAAGAAATGCAATTTGCTTTAACCCACCTTATAACAATACAATAAAAACAAAAATAGGAAAATTATTCTTTCAACTAATTGGTAAACGTTTTCCTAAAAATTGTAAACTATCAAAAATCATTAATAAGAATAGAATAAATATCAGCTACAGTTGTATGAATAATATCAAGAATGTAATAAACATAATAAAAAATAATCAATAAAATTAATAACAATTATAATAATACAAATCAGAATAATAACAACAGTTGTAATTGTTGAAATAAAAATAACTGTCCACTTGATAATAAATGTTTAACCAATAATATAATACAACTGTATCCAATAATATTAATACAGAACAAAACATTTATATAGGAGATACTGAAACAACATTTAAGAAAAGTTTGAAAATCATAAAATGTCATTTAGATTAAATAGATACACAAACAATGCAACCTTATCTAAATATATATGGACTTTCAAAAAGCAAAAAATATACTTACAAAATCATATGGGAAATAACAAAAAAGTATGTCCAAATAATATTAAAAACAGAACATGTAAATTATAGCTAGAAAAAAATTATATATAATAAATTTTAACAATAAAATCAAATTATTAAAGAAAAATGAATTAATGGGTAAATGTAGATATTTTAATAAATATCTCCTACTTTGTAACTTAAACACCCTCATAACAGTATTTTCATAAATTTTAACAAATATCTAATTTTAATTTTGATATATATATATATATATATATGTTGGAATCATATATATATATATATATATATATATATATATATATATATTCAGTGTCTGTGTGATTATAATATAAATATTAGAATCATATGATATAACTAAAATTATGTTTAAATAATACAAATTGTCTAAATAAGAATAGTTTATATTTGAAATATAATATGCATGTTTTTATATATATATATATATATATATATATATATATATATATATATATATATATATATATATATATATATATTTGTATATTTAGGCAGCAATTCTTCCTTTATGCATGTTTCATTAAAAACGACAGACAAGGTACTACGGTTGAGCTTTTTATTTAATTTTTCTTGTGTTCTGAGCTCCATCAGAACACATTTAAACACGCACTCGGATTTACCTGACACCATTAGGAACATACTAGTAGAAAACACAAATATATTAATTGCATCCACTTGCAAAAAAAGACTAAAAATAAAATATAGAAAAAAACGTGGATTTAAAAACATTTTAACCCTTGAGGAGTAGAAGTAGGTCATGAAACTGCATCGCTGGGAGAAAAATAATTAAAAACACTGATATTAATTTAGTTAATTTTTTAAAAAACTAATGTTAGTAAGATTTTCAATTTAAAAAAATTATTTACACTCTGTTATATTCTAAACAATGGGCACTTTTAAAAATTCCGTTTTAAAAAAAAACTTATATATATGCATCTTTCATTGAAAATGGCTGACAAAGATGATTTAAATAATCTTTTGTTGAGTTGGAAAAACTCAATAAAAGATTAATTAAATCTTCCTTGTTGGTTGTTTTCAATGAAAGATGCATGAAAGAAAGGTTGCTACCCAAATATGCATCAATATATATATATATATGTGTGTGTGTGTGCGCAAATATATAGAAAAATAGGAAAGAAAACATTAGGTAAATAATCCGAGGTTCTTTAGTATTTCTCTTTTTTTTTTTTTAAAAAACAGTGCTCAATACAAAAGTAGAGCCTAACTTATAATTATATTTATTTTTTTAAGAATATGATTCCTTCGCAACATAAGAGTTCTCATGTTTCAAAAAAAGGGGGAAAACTTCAATATGATTGCTAGAATTAAATTGAATTAAAGTATCAAACTCTTTTTCATCCTCATGCGAAATTTTTGGAATAACTAATCTTGAAGTTTATGCATCTTTATAAGCAGATTCATTCGTAGAATTAATTACTGAAGCAACCAGTTCAATAAGGGGTGTAAGGGTTAACAATTTGTATCAACATATTGGTCACCCTCAGGAAGAGGCCAAGGCAAGGCATGTCCGGGGTGTCCTTTTCAAAGCGAATGATGACATTCCTATATGCACATTGTCTGGTTTGTCTTAGTGACAGAGAGATATTGGCTCCATTCTACGCTGTTAAGTGTCTATAAAGATTTTTTTTTTTCTAAAAGGGCTATTCGTACATAAATGTGTCGCACTGAACTACAATTTGTTTTTTTGACGACTTCATAAAGGGTTTTTTATATTATGATTGGGTTAAGCTTTTAAACCTTTTATTAGACCATGAAATTTAAAAAAAATTTTTATCCTAATTATTTCATGCAAAAATTTGTTGATGTCGGCAAAAAACAGTTAACTCATGTCTATGGTTTAATAAATTTTCATTATTCAGAAACTTAATAATGTGTAGTTTTTCATGTAGGCATAAAGGGCATGGGTCATCCCAGGTTTTACAAGTTCTTGTTCTATTTATTATTTTCCATTTTACTTTTGGTGTTTTATTCATTTCTTTTAAATACCAAAAATATTTGGATAGAGATGTCTGATTTCTATTTCTAATATTATTGAAGGAGCTTTTGTGTTGTCTCCATCTAATTTTAAATTCATTTTTCATCACAAGAAACCTTTTCCAATTTGTCATATATTTTTCCCCAATATTGTTCTTGATATATAAAAAATATATGTTGTTATCTCCATATATATATATATATATATATATGTATGTGTGTGTCTGTAAATATATATATATATATATATAAATTTTCTTTACTTTAGGGAAAATTATCTGTTAACTCTGCTGACTCTTGTGGTCCTACCAAGGATTGAACTCACCATCCCTGGCTAACAAATATCTGAAGATATTAAATTCACACTCCTCAGCTTAATGGATGTGTTCTAAGCAGTGGCAGTAGCAGGTTCCCTTCCTACCAAAGCAGATTTAACCATATGCTGTTATTATGTTTACTGAAATTCCTCTTCAGTGAACACTTTTCTATTGTCTTGTGAATTGCCATCACTTAGATTATTGAGCAAGATCCTATTTTAAGTGAGTTTGGAATAGATTCATTTTAATTTTACTTTATGAAAGGCATCCTGAAAGCAAGTTGACAAATATATATTTCATAGCCTAATGATGAAAAAAGCATTTATTTTACACAGAAAAAATTTACTTTTCAACATAATCTTGTATATTTTTAATGCATTCAATTTAAAGCTTCTCTAATAACATGGATTGAACATTATACAGTGAAAATTTCAGATCATGATTTAGCTAATAGCTTGTGGTGAACATTCCCATAGAAACAAGCGAGCTAAAGTGGCTTGCATCTGGTGCATAGGAAAATAAGGGTCTTACCTTAATGTGCAGCACATGACATCAGCAAGTTTGCTTTTTGAAAATGGCATTACTCTCCCATCTAGCAACTTCAGCAGTATGTGTGGTAACAAAGGTTTTTGTACAGTTTGGCATGCTTCGACCAATAGCAAGTCGTGTGCTAATTGGTTGAATTGAAGGAGGCTATTTGCCTGGGTAACTGAGAATAAAAGCGAAGAACACTGATTGGTTGGTCGACCATGGTGTTAGCCCAATAAAAGAGGGCTGAAGCAGTGAAAAGGGCAGAACCATAGATAGATTGATGTTGTAAAGTGTTCAGAAAGCAAGAACGGCAAATTGAACTAGCGGTATTTTGATTTGTACAAGTGACGTTGTAATAATAGAGACTCATTTAAACTACATAGCTGTATATCAGACAATAGATACATTGATTCACTATCCTTCCTTGTACACATATTTATTTATTTATTATTATTTATTCAGAATATGTTTTCATCTTTCAGAAACTAAGAAATTCTTTAGATCCAACGTATTATCAAGGTAATGACAAAGGATTTGTTCTTAACCATTATGCAGGACAGGTGAGTCATTTTTCTAATTGGTCATTTTTTTAATTAAAATTTTTTAAATTGTTATATAGAATCAATATTTGTGTTGACAAAGAGTTTTTAAATTCATTGTGTCTGTATGGAAAGAATTTATATTTTTGTCAAAATTCAGTTATAAATTAGCAGAAAAACAAGTATTTACTTTTAAAGAAAATCTAAAATATATATAATCTTGGCTTCCAAGTATGAGTTGTATTTTTATTTTATTTTTTTTTAGAAGTAAACATAAATAATTAAAAAAATATTAATTTTTTATAAAAGAAAATAATGTTGTCATAATGTCTCCACTGTCTATAAAATGTTCCCATAACATGTGTCTTAAATCACCTTTGACAACTAAGTTCTACCCCAAGCCAGAGAAAGGACAAAAGCAAACCATTTGCATTTTATAACCAGCTGCTTTGGGTAGATTGAGTTTACCAGCCTGGGAAGGCAGTTCATCTAGGAGAAGAAAAACTCTGATTTTAACCTTCTGCTGCCTTGTGGCCATATCCAAACATGGAAAAGGCTATGGAAATAAATCCAGACAGAAAATCTAGTTTGGTTTGTTTTGTTCTATGGCATATCAACCTCAATGGGATATTTAATGCTGACAAGATTTTTATTGCTGGTCATTTTTTTTTTTTCAAAAATTTATTGCTGGTAATTTTTATTTTTATTTTTTTTTTTTTTTAAATATATAGCTGTTATTTTTTTTTTTTTAAATGTATAGCTGGTAATAATGTATTGCTGGTAATAATGTATTGCTGGTAATAATATTTTACAAAAAAGTATTGCTGGTATTAAAACCTATTTTTACACTTTCATAGTGTTTTGACCCCAGTTTGAGGGGTTAACTATTTACCCATAGCTGGGACCCTAACGGGTATTGCCACCCCAGGTCAGAGTGGACTTGGGAACACCAGCAATTAAGAGGTGGTTTCACACTTCTCAAAACCTCCCTGCTGTTGGACATAGTTTATTGTCTTACCCAGGATGTAGATGTAATTTATCGTCTTACCCAGGATGGCAAAAAATCTAGAGTAGAGCCATGAAGGTGGTTGGTTATCAGCACTGACAAACTTTTGGCAACTCCTGCAGCCAAGTCAGCCTCAAATGTAATGCCCTGTATCCCTTTTGATTTGTTGGTGTGTCCAAAAGGAAGGCCATGTGGTTTGGGTAGCACATAGCTGCCATATACCATCACCTAAGATTACACTCTGGAGAGGTTATTTCACTCTCATCTCCAAAGGACTGAGTTCTGACTAAACAGGGTGCTACCATTACTTCATAAGATACTACTACTTTCAATGTAGGCTGAAATGGATCACATGAAAAATTTTCCACTTTGTCATTGATTTTCCTAACACTGTTCTGATAGATCAAAATTTATTTATCATTTTTTTCCTATGCCTACTACTATTACTATTATTAATACAATTATTCAAATGTTTCTCATGGCCAGTTGTCTCTAGCTATGTCCAGATTAGGAAATTCAAGTGAACTTCACATAATAACAAAATTACACTATTTACATGATTTGGACTATTGTCCTTAATCTTTGTCGCCATGTTTATCACAACATTTTGGCCATTGTACACTCCAGCCTTCTTCAGGTAGTTGGAATGTTGAACTGAACCCTTTATTTTGCTCACTGGGGTAGATTGTTTTAGTTCCACGTGCCATGTCTAATGGATGTCGGTTATCCCCTGTTAATTCCCCTCTAAAAGTTCTCCACTGCCTTAACCAGGTATTGAACTCACACTCATGCCTTTATCAAGGACACATGGCACAGAGGATAAAGGCATTATTTAGATCCAGTGACAGGACCCCAAAAGTGTGAGTTCAATACCTGCTTTAGGCAGTGGAGAACTTGCAGAGGGGAATTAACAGGAGATAACGGATAACTGACATCCATTAAACATGGCATATGGAGCTAGAGCGGTCTACTCCAGTGAATGAAATAAAGGGTTCAGTTCAACATTCCAACCACCTGAAGAAGGCCAGAGCATACAATGGCTGAAACGTTGTAATAAACATGGCGACAAAGATTAGGACAATAGTCCGAATAATGTAAATAGTGTGCATAATACCTCATCTCAGAAATATAGACAGATGACAAAATTAATTTTAGAAAACAGATATCTTGCAGAGAATGTTCTTGATACAGAAATTTTAGAGAGGTAAGAGTACTTCGATGATAGCTTACTTTTTTCTTTTCGTAGGACGGGTATTTGACCATTAATCTTAAATTTAATTTTCTTTAATTGTTCTTATTATGACTATAAAAACAGAACATAATTCAAATATTTCTCTCATGATTATCTCTATGCAGCTATGCTGAGATTAGGAAATTCTAGTGGACATAACATAACAAAAAAAATAATACTTTAGAAAATAGCTATCTTGCTGAAAATGCTTTTTATACAGAAATTTTAGAGAAGTAAGAGAACTTTTATGCAAACTGATTTTCACACTTCATATGCTGGGTATTTGGCTAATATTGAGAATTCATGAAATAATTATGGAGGTTAATAATATCATGTCACTTTTGGTATATCACCAAATAATGTGTACGCTAGGTAAGAAAGTGAATATTCTCTCATTTGTATTCTCTCTCTCCCTGCCATATTATTAGCATTATCATATTCCTGATATAATAACACCTTACTTCACAAATGGAACAGAATAGCTGAAAGAAAAGAAATGACAAACATGATTGGTACTGAGAGAGGTTTTATGCCACTAATTCATACACAAAATTATATATATATATTTACATGTGCTCTATGCAGAGAACAATAAGCAAAGTGAAAAGGCGATAAAGAAAGGAGTCTTATAATAATTCTCAATGGGAAGTGGTGCTGCCAGAGATTATTCTGTATTTCTGGTAAGCCATATTTATGATTCCAGATTTGAGTGGGGTGGATTCATCAGCTATGTTGCTAGCAAGTACATATTCTGCAAATGAGAAATGGTTTTTCCCAACCTGAGGACTTTGAGCCAGAGATTTTTTCTATATCAGGTGAAGATATATTTCCAAAGGAAAATGGTGCCATAGACTTGTTAGCTGTATCATGTGGCAAATTTAACCTCAGCCCCTGGCCAAGGGGTCTGGGCTAAAAAAAACAGTTGCTTGGTTTGACTCCTGGAAGTTGACTGACTGCTTACTTTTACCACTGTTTGAAATGATGCCACTAAGTAGCAGTCATGTGACCCACATGACTTCATATCGAGCAAAGGGAGATAATCGCCTTTTGTATCCCTACACCATATTTAATTTTTTGCACTTGATTTTTGGCATCTTTAGAGTTAAAGTTCTTTTTTCTATTTTTTGAAAAGGAAGCTGATTATCAATCTTTCTTTTTTTTTTAGGTTTCCTACAGCATTGAAGGTTTCTGTGAAAAGAACCGAGATGTTTTATTTGTTGACCTTATTGAAATGATGCAGACAAGCAAGTTGTAAGTAATTCTCAATTTTTACATCTCATTAAATAGTTTCGTTATTTCATATAACATTCTGACTATGATCTTCATCTTTGTTGTTTTTAACACAATGTTTTGGGTGATATGTTGAAAATATCAGGAAAGAAATAAACTAAAATTTGGTGACTAGCAGAGACACATCTAATTAACAAGAGCAAAGTGACACAAATATGTGACAATGTTTGAGCCAACATTGTCATCAAATAACTTGAAATATATCCACAGGATTGAATCATTCTCATCTTCTCTATATTCCTTTGGCAAGATGGATGTTCCACCCAGAAATCTTCTTCCCAAGAACCTCTTTGTGAAATAGACTCCCATGTGTATGCTTCCCTGTTGACCTCTTCAAGTCTTGGGTTAGTTGTTATCTATCATACATATCCTCGTAATCTTCTCATCTTAGTTCCTTCTCTTATGCTGATATCACACACCTTATTCAGTAATCATCTACCTTGAGTGACTCTAGGATCTTGTATTGGTTGAACTTTAGTAAAAAAAGAAAAAGAAAAAAATTGTTCTCTGCCAAGACACAGTAGAGAAGAGCAGAAATTTTGAGGAGTTGCGAGTTGTATCAGGTCATGTTTGGAACCAAATGTAATCTTTTTGGTCAGAGCTTTTTGGTCGTCAGAATTTCAGATAAGAGATTGTGTCCGTCTACAATCATTTGTAATATCAGATGCCACTAAAATACTAAAATATTAAAATACTAAAAATTCAACTGTAACAATTTTGAAATTCATCAGTAACACAATCATTACCATTGCAATTCTCTTTTTGTTTTTGCTAATTTATTTTAATGAAATATTTATGTATAATTCAACTTTTTTTAACATTTCTCAATTTAATATCGAAAAATAAAACATTACGCAATGCAAGGGAGATAATTCATTATAATCTAAATAATAGTTACTTCCCTTGGATTGATGAAAATTAAACTGTGTGTGTGTAACTATGACAAATTTTTTGTGTTATCCTTAATTTTTGATTATTTCTTTTACAGCAAATTCATTTCGAAGTTGTTTCCTGAGAACATAAATGCTGCAAACAGAGGCCGGCCAACTACAGCTGGGAACAAAATAAAAGTAATTGTTTTCATTGTTTCTTTCCTCTTTACAAAAAATCATTGGACTTACAAAATCAAAAAAAGATTTTAGAAATGTTTCTATTTTGTTAATCTATTTTTTCGAAGCTTTTATCTATAATTAAAATTTTTCTACATTTCGTTAATTTCATTTACAAAGATAATTGCAAATGAATATTCACGACTTACGTAGAAAAAGGGAGGTAATTATTGGATCTGCATCTTGTGATTACTTCCCTTGCTTTCAGGTAGTACTTGATAAGTAAAAGTGTGTACTGTGACAGATTTTGTTTCAGAAATGAATGATCAGGGCTGTATTAAGATATTGCAGGGCCGGTGCAAGGTTCTTTTGAGCTACCCCTGAATCTGTGTAAAAATTTCAGTTAGAGTATATCTATAAAAAGACAATATGAATAAAGACAAAAGGAAAACTTAACTGATGTATTTGGTCTATGAAACACATAGGCTAAGATAAGTTTTCCTTTTTCTCTATAGTTTTGTCTTTATTCATATTGTTCTTTATCTTTTTATTCTGCCAGATTCCGATCCATATTTGATTCTAACTCACATATATATAGATATTGATAATATTAGTGTTACCACTAATATACACATACATATGCAAAATATATAAATATATATACATACATGCATACACATACATATATATTTTTTGAATAAAAAATTCTAAAAGGATAGAATCCAGGTAGAACTCAATGTCCAGGACTGAGTAAGGATATAATAAAAAGGCTTAAACACTAATATTCCATGGTCATAGTTTATTCCATTGGAATCGTAAATACGATCCAATTCATCAGACCTACAAATTCAAAAAGAAATCAGAAAAAACAACTCCAGAAATAAAAATAGAACTTAGAGAGAGTGTAAGTGTGAGAGTGTGGGAGGAATGTTAGAGTTAAAGAGAGGGGTAACAGATGAGAGAAGGTGGGAGATTAAAACTTAACAGAGAGAAGTTTTAGAGAGGTGAGTTAAAGACAGTTTAAGTGAGAGAAATATGAATGTTGTCGGATGTTTAATACAGTAAGGATGTAACTGGAAAGGATACATTTTATGGTGACATACACACACAATAGACGATCTAATTTTAAAGATCAGAAGAAGAGGGAGGCAGAGGAAAAGAAAAGAAAAAGGGAAGAAAAGAAAAGAAAAAAATGAAGAAAAAAAAAAAAAAAAGGGGTGGGGAGAGAGATGGGGTGGGGGAAACTAAAACTGAAGGGCATTTACTGAAATATATATATATATATATATATATATATATATATATATATATATATATATAAATTAAATTCCCAGATCAATTCTGTGGACAAGACAAATTGGTATAAGATGACAATTGGAAAAAATTTTTTATTTTTTTGCTGATGGGTTTCGTCTTCTGACTATTTCAAGACAAAAATGAAATCAAAATGGTTTTGTTGTTATAGTTACATTAAAAAATCCAAATTTAAAAAAAGAGACACTTCTATGTAAACTGCTTTATGGTTAATGCAAATTTCCTTTATACTGAGAGTTTTTTTTTCTTTTCATATTGACAATATAGTTGAATTCCCAGATCAATTCTGTGGACTCTTAATATATTGTTGACATGGAAAAATAAAGACTCTTAGTATAAAGGAAATTTACATTAACCAGAAAGAGGCTTACGCAGAAATGTCACTTTCTTTTTTTAAATTTGGATTTTTGACAACAAAAACATTTTGATTTCATTTTTGCCTTGAAAAGTCAGAAGACGAAATGTGTCAGCAAAAATATAAGATTTTATTCCAATTGTCATCTTATACCATATATATACCATATATATATATAGACAATTAATTATGCAAACTCCGATGGAGATAGATAGATAAATAAATAGATTGAGAATAAGCTGAGATGGATAGATAGTATTATAGAAAGAGAACTAGCTAAGATATATAGATATATCGATAGAAATAGTGTGGATATAGAAAACTCCATGTCTAGATAGATTGTTAGATATGAAAAGTGTGTAAGTAAAAACACAAAGATATAAGAATTAAAAACCATATATCAACATTGCAATTCAGCATGTGTATTGTTGACTTTACACACTGTACAGATCTACAAAAATGCTACTAATTTGAAAATAATATATTATTATTAGTATGAACTTTAATTTTAGTGGATACTTGTATACAGAGGTGTGGCCAAAACTGTAATGGCACACACTTAGGTAAGGTGGCTTCCTAGAGAAAAATAAATGCAGGTAAGATTTCTGCTGAGAAGTAAATTTTCTTTAATAAGACTTTTAATTGTATGTTATATTTATATGTTAATTTCATTTTTTAAAGACAAAACAGTGATGTCTACTCAAACATATGTACATACTAAAAATGACATTTATAACAATAAGATATATATATATATATATATATATATATATATATATATATATATATATAAGAAATATATATATATATATATTTTTCTGCAGTCATCAATGATGGCTTGTTTACATTCCAGTTTATTGTGACATGAAAAATAACTCACCCACCTCCACTCACTGAGATTACTTTTCTATTTAACGTAGATCTGACATTTAACTGGTTATTCAAGACATACCCATAAGTCTATTTTTAATTTTGATCTTATGTCCCCTACTGCTTTAACTTTCAGAAAAGAGGTAACACTTTGGTTTTAAAATTTCTTAAAAATCATTTAATCACCTGAAGAAGAACAATCAAAGTACTGAAATATGGAAGCTTTTTTTTCAAAATGTTTGTATTATAGTCTCTTATAATAAAAATATAATAATAATAATAATTTAAAAACTGCAGTCAACACAAAATTGACAAGGGTAAATTTCCTCAACATAACTTTAGACTTAATAAATAACATATACAGAAAACCTAATACTAATCTCTTGTATATACCCCCCAGGTCAAACCATCCTCTATCCATAATTAAGCACGTACCCTCATCAATAGAGAAAAGAATCAACATGAACTCTGCAAATGAAGAAATATTCTATTAACAGTAATTTTTACAACAAAGCTGTAGAAAATAGTGGCTACAAACACCCTAACATCAATTATATAAAAACAATAGTACAAACCAGAGGAAAAAAGGAAAAAGAAAAATCATTTGGTACGCCCCATCCTCGGTCAGCCAAATGGTTAGCAATTAGCTAGGACAAAAATGCCTAGCTTTAATCGTAAAACATTGTCCTGCTAACAGCAAATTTAGCAAGATCTTTAATAAAAACACCTGAAAATTAAGTTATAGTTGTTCTGAAAATCTAGAAAGAATTATAAAAAACAATAATAAAATCCTGGAAAAACACACATGCCAAAATCAAATATATAAAAATCCTTAATTAAAATTAGACAAAAATAATGAAAAATTATGTGATTGTAGAAACCCTGAAAATTGACCTCTGAATAATAGATTCCACATAGAATCTGTGGTATGCAAATGCACAATCTCATCCATTGAGAATCCAAATATTGAAAAGATATATATAGCATCCACAAAGAATGAATTTAAAATAAGGTGGAGACCTCACAAAAGCTACTTCAATAATATTAGAAACAGAAATCAGACATTCCTATGTAAATATTTTTGGCATTTAAAAGAAACAAATAAAACACCAAAAGTAAAATGGAAAATAATAAATAGAACAAGAACTTGTAAAACCTGGGATGACCCATGCCCTTTATACCTACATGAAAAACTACACATTATTAAGTTTCTGAATAATGAAAATTTATTAAATCAAAGAAATGAGATAACGATTTTTTGCAGACACTACCAAATATTTGCCTTAAATGGACAATTTTATAAATGGACAAAAAATAGTAATAATAATTTCCAAATCTATTAACAAGTTCAATTAAAACAATAGGTTTAAAAACACAACCCAATCATAATCTCAAAGCCCTTTTAAGAAATCATCAACAAAAAAACAAAAACTACCGGAACTACATCAGTCAGTTTTAACAGGGAATCAGATAAGATTAGCCATTGTAGCGAGACAAAAAAAAAAAACCAACCCAACCTTACACGACTCCAAAAACTTGACATATAACAAACACCCCTGCTTAAATCAAAGCTGTGACCCCTTGATAATGAAAAACAAACCCTAGATCACACCCCCATTTCAAAACTATAAATGAATAAAACATTCCATAGCATAGTTATTCCAAACGTCACTTGGGGATGAGAATGTCACTCAGTAGTTAAGATTTAATATTGAAATTAAACTTGAATACTGATGACCAATTTTGAAACAGTAATTTCTGTGTCACGATGGAATCATATTTTTTAAAAAATAATTATAATCTAGGCTCTACTTCTGTATTGGGCACTGTTTTTTTCAAAAATAAAAACAAAAATACTAAAGAACTTCGGATCATCAACCTAACAGTTCTTTCCTATTATATCAATATATACACACACACAATAATAATAATAATAATAATAATAATAATAATATATATATATATATATATATATATGTGATAGAAATAATTAGAATTTGATTTGAAATAATCATAATTAAGTAATTCATCGAGTCTAGAAGAAACCTCAACAGAATGCTGAAAGCACTGGACGGCCGTTTTGTCCTATATTTGGGACTCATCAGCAGTGCGCATCCACTACCAAGAATTGAAACCAGAACAGTTACGATAGGAAGCAAACGCTGTACCTATGGACCTCATGATGAAGAGGTAATGAATTAGACTCGATATAGTGCCATTTGATCACATATTCCATGGTGGAACTCATCCGAGTTTCTCTTTAACCATAGGACTGTGCCCCCATGAGCTACGACTAGTATCCCCAGGCCGCTCCACCCAGAGCATTAGAAGCCGGTTCAAGCAATGATATACAAGTGATAGAAATAATTAGGAGGATTTGAAATAATCATAATTAAGTAATTCATCAACAGAATGCAGAAAGAATGTGCACTGCTGATGAGTCCCAAATATAGGATGAAATGGCCGTCCAGTGTTTTCTGCATTCTGGTGAGGTTTCTTCTAGACTCTATGTTTTTTGACAATCTTTTTTGCAAAGTCAAAATTGAAGTAGATGGAAGAAATTTATTCAAGGTGCTCAGAGCATCTGCCAAATAAACGAAATGCAAGGGGGTGAGAGTCTAGAATAAAAGCAAAATCTTAGCACCTAACTATTATTAATTAATTATTAAATATGTCTCATTAAATTTTTTATTCTTTTTCCAGACACAGGCCAATTTGTTAGTTGAAAAACTTATGTTATGCACACCGCATTACATCCGATGCATCAAACCAAATGAAACCAAAAAACCTTTTGATTGGGAAGAAAGTCGGTAGGTACAAATTTTTTTAATATTGTTAGAAATTCTGAGATAGAGTAATGTTGTTATTGTGTTGTTATTAATGTTGCTAATGTGGAGTAATGTTCACCACAAGTAAGGCGATAATGCCACTAAGACACAAGGGGTTACTTGTAGTGAAAGTGAATGGGAAGACCTTATAATGAATTGGAAAACTAATCCTAAACAAGAAACAAGGGATAAACCTCTACTGTTCAAAAGTGGATGATAGGTGAACCTATCTTCTCCTAGTGAAGGAAAGAAAAAAAACTTTTCAGAGTTTAGTCAGAGATGTCAGAAGTATAGAGTTGAAGTAGAATTTAGAAGGAACTGAAAACCCAACCCTAAACAGGAAACAAGGGATAAACCTCTACTTCTGTTCAAAAGACTGGGGAGGAGTGTGAACTGGGTCGTAGGTTAACATAATTGTAGTTTCAGTTATAAAACATGGTAATTCGAGTGTTGTGGTGATTCTATTTAAAAAAAAAAAATGATAATATATATATATATATATATATATATATATATATATATATATAAAAAAACAATATTGGGGTAAATGTATGACAAAGTAGAAAAAGTTTTCTTGTTACACATTTCTGAAGAAGTCCTAAATGATAAAATGCATCACAAGAAAATTTTTCTCACTTTATGATATATATATATATATATATATATATATATATATATATATGGGAGAAAATAATATATAAATTTTTATATACCAGAACACTGTTCTTACAACAGTTTAGCTTTTCTTGGCTGATCTTCTATTATCACAATTTGGGTTACTTAATAACAAAAGTGATAAAAATAAAAATATAAGTAAAAAGAAACTAAACTGGCTAGACTATATATCTAAACACATACTAAAAAAACATGCCAACACATAACAAAATCTGCTGATAATCTAAGATTTTAGAAATGCTTTGTTGGAAGAAACATTGTTTCTCTTGTGGAGTAGATACAGTGTAAATTACTCACTCTCAAGTAGTTTGTAACACATTACTTATCATCTCTCAGTTGTGTCTCTGTTCTTGGGCAGAGTGCACTCAGGGGCAACTTCGTCAAAGGACAGAGTTGCAACTGAGGAAAATTATAACTGAGAAGTGCCAGCCCTGAGGAACAGCTACCTGAGGCTGTGCCTTCTCATTGCACTAGAGAGAGGGATCAGTGAATGCACCAAGGCCAGTGCAACCAACAATTGTGGGGGCTTGGTAATTTTTGTTCCTAGCCCCGGTGTATGCAGTCAGGTTTCCCACATTAAACTGACCTTGTGTCACAACCTGACCTTGTGGGGGGTTGTGTAAATACAAGTTACTCTAAAATAGTTTGTGACACATTATTTATGATCTCTCAGTTGTGTCTCTGTCTTGGGACAGAGTGTGCTAAAGGGGTGGCTCCGTCAAATGACAGAATCACAACTGAGGAAAATTATACTGCCCAGCCCTGAGGAACATCTGCCTGAGGCCGTGTCCTCTCATTGTACCAGAGAGAGGGATTGGTGCTCACACTAAGGCCAGCGCAACCGACAGTTGCAAAGGTTCGGGCAGTTTTTGTTCCTAGCCTGGGTGTATGTGCTCTGGCTCCCCACATTAAACTGACCTTGTGTCACAATGTGACTTTGTGGGGGTCAGGTCAGGTCGAGAAAATATCAAATTACTATAAATACTCTAGACTAGAACTGGGGCTTTTTAATCTCAGAATTTGTTGAAGAATTAGGCCCCAATTTTTCATTTATTCATATAGATTCCATGATATAGGCTTTACATAATAAGCTATTATGTTTCTCTAACTCTTTAAATGTTGAATGTACAACTAATTCTACTTTCTGTTTTCCCATTTTTACACTATATTAATTATATCTGATAAATTGTCCCCTGTTCTGTCACCCATGAAATAAAAATGATAGTTTGTATGGAAAATAAGGACCTGTGTTCGTCAAATTGTCTTTAAATTAAGTGGCAGCAGAAGAATTATCATTGAACTTTTAAAAGGTAAGCTTAAACATTAATTCAATATTTAAATGCAGTGATCAATTTTGAGTTCTTCTGTAGTTTATTGATGCCTATAACATCTACTCCTCCCTAGCTATTGTGATGATGGCCAAACAAAGAGTCCTCCACAGGAGCTAGCTTAAAATTTTAAGGAAGATAAGAGTTACTACTCTTGATCCATGAAAGCAACAATAATGGCTAGTATAATATATTAATATATATTTTAACCTCACATAATCTGGCAACCCTGAATCTGAGCTCAATGAAAATTGTTCCAAGCACCTGACTTTTCTAGGACTTTTGAATGAGCCATGAATCATTGAAATCTGGCCAGTGGGGACAGAGGAGTTGCTTGGACATACACATGCAAAAACACACACACATACACTGTACTTTTTTTATATATGTATACATATATGTGTGGCTCTTTATATGTGTGTGTGTATATATATATATATATATATATATATATATATATATATAGTGATTTTCCAAGCATAGATTGAATGGGGCACAAGGCCGAAAGGAGGGAGCACCCAGTGAAGATCAAACTCACTACTCGGTCATAATTGTTCTAGCAAGAAAAGCTTGCTAACCTTTATACCACCTTGCAGTGCCCTATTTTCTTTTATTTAATTAGTTTGTTCATAACCTGATATTTGATTAAAACTCACCCTTTTTTACCTATATGTTTGTTCATGTAGGTTATATTTTGATGGGTAGTATGTGTTATTTTATTATTGTATTTGTGCTTGAATCTTGGTGAGTTTGTTTATTTGTATATGGCTATGTGTGTGTGTGTGATTGCTTGTATTTAGTTTTACTTGTATATGCTTATTTTGGATGTAATTTCCTTTTATGTTTTTGTTTGTTTTTCTTATTTTTCTTTTTATCCTCTTTTTTATTCTTTATTTTTATTTTCCTTTTTTGAACTTTTCGTTTTTCCTTCTCCTTTTTTTTCTTCTTTCTTTCTTTCTTTCATCTTCTTTTTCTATTTCCTGTGTCATTCTTATATTTACATGCATATATGTTTAGTTATATTTATGTGTCTCTATATTAGTGGGTTTGTCGTGTTATCTGTATAATCTAACTCACTTGTGCCTAATGTTTGTAGCATTTATTGATACTTTTCATATCCGCGTCAAATTTTCCGAATAAATTGGCATTTAGCTAAGAATAGTAATAATATATATATATATATATATATATATATATATATATATTTTTCTTTCTTTTCTTTCATTCCATTTTTGAATAACTTTGTAATATTTTAAACCTAATGCTTGGTTTAATTTAAAATTTGAAGTTTTTAATTTTACCATGAAATTAAAATTTAATTATTTTATATTTATTTCTAATTCATATTGTTTCTAAGCAAACATTTTGATCAACAAACGGTTTGTATTTATAATACACTGTCATGTTTTTTTGAATTTTCATATACTTGTATTCTGATTAGTTGCCATAGGTTATGTAACAAGGTGTCCCCTATTGAGGGGTTTCGATTTGGTTTTGAATTTTCAAAAAATCTCTTTTTTTTTTTTTGCAATCATCAGCATAACTTGACAAGTCATTAGAAGTGTTGAAACAAAATGGCTGTTTTTATAGTGATGTTATAACATGCTTATGTTATAATTTTTTGAATAAATATTATTTGCTCTACTTTGTATTCAGATATCAATCCCTAATATCAAAAGTAGATGTTGGTGTTATGTTAGTAACCAGTAACCTTCCAAAGTCAAGTTTGTTCCCACTTAACTTTTCTAAAAATAAACGTTGCTATGGGGTAATCCTTAAGCTTATAAAGAGGCAATGATATTCTCACTTATTCTCTTTCCTCTTTCCTCTTTTACAAGTCTAGCCATAAAATGTAGTTGCATGTGGGGAAAAACATGTCCCCCATTAGGGCACGTTCATATTTAATGTCTTACCTTTCCCTTGTGACTTTTTGTGCTTTTTATCACACGTGTCTATCACATAGGCCTACACAATCTTCATATATGCAAATAAAAATTCTTTAGTCTTTAAAAGTTTTCTAATTGTTATTCTTTTGTTAATACATGCATTGTTGTTGGTTTTATATAATTTTGTGTTACTCATTTCTTATTTGGACTCACATTTGAGTTCACAATAATTGTTATGGGAAAAATAATACCAGGAGACACATGTTTTCTACGTAAACACAACAAGTATTCCTATTGCAGCTATCCTTACGGCTGAAATTTTCAAAGAAATAACTATTTCTTGTCAATATTTATTCCCAGAGTGGTCCATCAGATTGAATATCTGGGGCTAAAAGAAAATATCAGAGTTCGACGAGCTGGATTTGCCTATCGGAGAGAATTTGAGAAATTCTTTCGCAGGTAAAGTAGGACTTATTTTATTTTGTTTTTGACACCTGAATCTGTTTTGGTATGATATAAATACTGTATTTCCCAGCATTTAATACTCACTGATGTATAAAATGTGTTATAATTTCTTAAGGAATATTTATGAAAGAAAATGATATTTAATTTATGATTCATCCATATTTATACAGCATTTGTCTTTATATTATAAAATTTTTTTCATTTGTTGTCATAATTTAAACTTTTATAATTATATGTCATTTAGGTGCAAACAGAGAACTAGTGTTTCACACAGAAGTGGGTGAAAAAACAGGATCTTGATCAATAAACTGAAGGATGGCAATTCACCAAACAATAGAAAAGTGTTCACTGAGGAGAAATTTCCATAAACTTAAATAATGCCTAAATGTTAAATCCACTTTGGCAGGAAGAGAGACAAGCCTGCTATTGCCACTGCATAGAACACACCCATTAAGCTGAAGTGTGGGAATCTAATATCTCCAGAAATTTGTTAGCCAAGGAATGTGAGTTCAATCCTTGGTAGGACCACAAGTGTCAGCATAGTTAACAATGGGGTTAAGATACTTTTTTGGTACCAGAAATCTAACCAACTGGTTAGAAGTCAAAGAGTAACTTTTGGCAGAATTCTTTTGTAAGGTTGAAAGTGTTTAAAAGTATTTTACATTATCTATTGTATTTCAAGCATTAAATGTCTTTATATTTGTTTCCAAATACCAGAATTAAAGTTTTTTTTTTCTTCTGTATATTCAGATATAACCTGCTCACTTCAGAGACGTATCCAAATTATAATGGGGATTTAATTCAAGGAATTGTTCATATTTTGCGATCTGTGAATATGAGTGAAGACCAGTATCAGTTGGGAAAGACAAAACTTTTTATCAAGAATCCAGAATCAGTAAGTTGTCCTTTTTTAAATAATCTTTACATAAATTACTTTCACTGTATAAAGTGCATTGTGAATAGATATACAATATAATTGCATATCATAATTAAATACCGTAATTCCCCATGTATAATACACCTTCATATATAATACGCACCCCTAAAACTATGCTGAAAGTGTGGGAAAATACCTCTACTCATGCATAATATGCACCCCTGTAAATTGTACCTCTTCAATTTCATTATGGCCATCGTTTCCTAGTCTTTTTAAAAAAATGGTTTTAAGCATAGAATAATATTATTCTAATTTAGTTTTATGATAATTCTTATTTTATTTTACATTTGTAAGTATTGTTAGGTACATATGATTGTATTTGACATTCTTATGTGATTGCAGTCACCGAATGTTAGTGTCAAATTGTCATATGTTTGTGATGAGAAGTCATTTCGCAACTGAAATTGACTTATGAAATGGCAATTTTTTAAAGATTTTTTTGTAGCTGCGCATAATATGCACCCCTAATTTTGCTGATTATTTTCAAGAAAAAATGCGTATTATACATGGGGAATTACGGTAATTGTTTATAAAAATGTATATGTGTTGCAGATTTGAATCAACCCACAACAAAGAAAATAGTGAGACAGGTTTTTAAATACAAAAATATAAAATATTTTCATTTTCATGTTTTTACAACTAAATTTTTCTCAGTGTGTACATTGTGTTAGAGTTCCTTGTTTGTAGTTGTTTGTTAAGATGAAAAAAATGTGATTTCTTCACATGTATGTGTGAAAAAGAGTCAAGGAAGAAAGTCAGGAGGAAGAGTGTAAGTGTCATATAGCTTGTTGAGGAAGCGTGTAAGTGTCACATAGCTTGTTGAGGAAGAGTGTAAGTGTCACATAGCTTGATGGGGAAGAGTGTGTCACATAGTTTGGTGAGGAACAGTATAAGTGTCACATAGCTTGGTGAGGAAGAGTGGAAGTGTTACACAGCTTGCTGAGGAAGATGGGTGAATGAGTGAGTCATATGTTGCTGTTATGACTCCTTACTGATTTTGTTCATCTAGAGACTTTACTTAAATACTCTTTAAAGAGATCACAAAGCATATTTTTTATTGTTGGCAGGAACATAAACCATAGGTTGAAAAATGTTAAATATTTATTTTCAAAGGGTTAATTTATTAACTGGAAGGATGCATGAATCCTCTACCTCAGAAACCATTGTTTTGTCATTTGGTGTTTGATGTCTTGGTGTTTATTTCTTTCTTCATTCCACATATGTAACAATATGGAAGTTATCTGAATTTGGCAAAATGGGAGTAAGTCTTGCACATCTGTGTCAAGTAAGAGCTGTGTCCTGGGTATGACAATAAACTACATCCAACAGCAAGGCCTCTGATAATATGTTTTTGAAAAAATAATGTTGCCAGCTGTACGTTTTTGAAAAAATAATATTACCAGCTGTACGTTTTTGAAAAATAATATTACCAGTTATACGTTTTTGAAAAAAAAAATATTACTAACTATACATTTTTGGAAAAATAGTATTACCAGCTATACATTTTTGAAAAAATAATATTACCAGCTATACATTTTTGAGAAAAAATATTAACAGAAATAGATTTTTGACAAAGCAAAAATATTACCAGGAAAAAAAAAGTTGTTGTCATTAAGGTTGATATGCTGTAAAACAAACCAAACCAAACCAAACCAAACAAACTAAAAAGAGCTGACATGGAGTGGCATCTCGATGTTGGTCCTCTGGACTTAACATTGGCAACCCAGTTCAAAATAGTTTAGGGGATGTGTGTTCATTAGCCCCCACTTTATTTTTGCCCTCTCTTTCTTTAGTTTAATTTCTCACTTGTTAGGTGCTAGAGATGTCAGTTCTCTAGTAGATATGGAATGCTTTTCATTTTTTAGGGAGATGTGCTTTCCTATTTGTTGTTGTGTTTGGATGAGTGTTTGGTAAAGTGATTATTTTAATTATTGTATTTAGTCCCAAATTAATTTTGTTCAGTTAACTGATGTTTCTGCCAAAATTTAGGATTGTGCCGGGACTTTTATTTCTAACACTATTTTGTTTAGTTTTGTAGATAGGAGTTTTTCATTATAACTATATATTGGAGTTAGTTTTTAAAAAGTTGTTGTTTTTATTCCCCGACCACCCACAGACAAATTGTATATATTGGGACTAGTTAGGTCTCCAAAGTGACATTGTAGTATTATGGGCACCTTGAGGTGGTGTAATGGTTAGCAAGCTTGTCTCACTAGAACAATTATGACTGAGTAGGGAGTTTGATCCTCACTGGGTGCCCCATACTTTCGGCCTTGTGCCACATCGAAGCTACGCTTGGAAAATCACTATATGATTTCAGTTGGGCACCTCGAAGTGGTGTAATGGTTAGCAGGCTTGTCTCACTAGAACAATTATGACTGAGTAGGGAGTTTGATCCTCACTGGGTGCCCCATACTTTCGGCCTTGTGCCACATCGAAGCTACGCTTGGAAAATCACATTGTAGTCTTATGGTTTGTGGTAATAAAATAAGCACATCCCATCTTTCCTCTCACTTGTAACCATCCACTATAATAAACATTTTCAGTATTAAAACTGAATTAGTTAAGTAAAACTTCATAAGCTTCTACTTAGGGTTGTTGCTATATTACATGATTACAAGAGTACTTTACGAAGGGGTTTATCTCTATAAAATATGTGTTCTTTTTGTGTTATTTAATTGCTCAGTGGAAAATGTCATGATGCCATTTCTGACCTTAGGTCTCTGGTTGGGACCTGGAAGGAAATGTTTATACAACTGAAATTCTGAGAAATAATAATAATAATAATAATAATAATAATAATACCTTCTGATGGATGCTGCAGAGCCAGCCTACATCTTGAAAAACGTTTGAGAAACTAAGTAAATACAAGGACCCTGAGATAGAAATCAGTAGAATGTGGCACCTCAAGACAACAACATTACCTGTCGTTATTGGGGCTCTGAGAATGATATCCAAAAAAGCAAACAAATGCGTGTATCAAATTACGAGCAGCCTTAAAATAAGTTAATTGCAAAACAATCATACTTAAGGAATACTTCTGATATTTTGCGTAGGTTTTCTCTGCCACATTTCTTGTATCTAAACAAGAATAAATATGACTTTTGTCTTTGGTACCTAGACTTTATCAATCTAAGTGTAGTACTAGATTGGTGGCAAGGTCTTATTATTTTACAGTTGAAAATGACTAGATGTAACCGTAAGTTCTAAACTAACAGTTTCTTCTCTTCTCACTTGTGGAGCTCTCTTGTGAGTTTTTGCTTTTCAGTAAATTTTGATCTTCAAAAATTTAAATGCAATGTCAATCGTTATCTTCTGACTTCTTGTTCTTTTATTGTTTGCACTTTTTTGTATAAAAAATATTAGCCCATCTTGCATTTTTATTCTAAATCATGTGTTTTAAACTTAAAAAAACTTAACCTGCCTCACATTTTCAAACTTAAATCAAGAGTTTTAGCATTTAAAATCTACCCCCTTTTTATGTTGCTTCATTATGATAATTTAAACATTTTGTTATTCTTTCTTGTTGTTTTTAATATATCTATTTTTATTGCAATCAGCAAATTAACTTTCCTGGTTCAGAGAATTCAAAACATGACCAACTGTATTATAAGATTTTTTTATTGAATGGATTTATGTTAAAAATATATGTTATATATTCATTTAATTTCTTGCCAACTATAAAATAATTCTGATATTTAATTATTGTATTTTTACACCATTTTCAACTCATTCTTATGAAATTTAAATCTGTTTCTTCAAATATCAGGACAGGTTATACATCCATCACTCTGTCTATCCATCTATCTCTCTAACCTCTTACCTTGTCTGTTCATATCAATCTATCTTCTTATTTCTAGATATAGAAAGTTGACACTATAGTGAATATAAAAGTTAATAAATTTCATTGCAATTTCCCAAAATTATTTTAAAAAAATATTTAATAATAAAAAGTAAAAACTTATTCTTTGTTTCATGTAAATATAAATTTTGGAGTTTAATTTATGCTGTATTTTGTAGTGATGCTAAGAGCAGAAACAGGAAGTTACCTCTTTCATAGCTTAAAACATAATGACATATTTCAGGCTTTGTGCAATAGGCTCCATGCATAACTTCGAGTTTGAAGTTGATTAAATACAATCCTAAATTAATATATTTGGAGCAATAAGAAATGAGCATGCCTGAAATAATCAAGGACTTAATCGGAGCCTCTTTCAACTTCACTAACAATATAAATAGACCCCTATCTAAAAGAAAAAGAAGAGATTCCAACAGGAGACACACAGAGAAGACACAGAGATGAACACTTACAACTGTGAGTGGATACATCAAAGAGATCTTAGCTTCAACAACCACTACCACTCGTCACCTCTCTCTTGTCATTTTCAGCCCTTTTAATTCTCTTATCCATTCAAAACTTTTTTCCTCATTCACAGGACATATTACCAAACAAAACTTTTATTTAATTTTACTTAAATTATAAATACCAAACTTGTGCCATCTATAAACATTACTACTGTTTTTGTAAAATACAAAACTGTGACACCAGCCATTGACCCTTGGTCAAATCTCAGTTGTGGTGCGAAGCTGTAATGTTTCTTCTACCGGCATTTTGGGGTTGATTCTTTGTCGCTGCCACCAGCCTGTGTCCCGGGTGATTGGTGGTCATCACTACTTGGCAAAATCCCCTGGTCAGGATACCAATATGTGACACTCAGCCCTCCAGGGTCGAATTCTGGTCATCGATGTTAACGGCTTCACCAGCTGTACTGGTTCAATACCAGTTCTATCATTCCCAGCTCACTTGCAACATCTGGTTAATGGAGTAACTGCCTTGATCTCAAGTCTAACCTACCCACATTATGACTTTGATCTTAGGTAGACAAGATCAAAGGGGTCACGCCATAGTGCAAGCTGAGTCTAGGTTGAAGGTGGTATTGCACAAATAAAATAAAAGAAAAACCCAAGAGGTTCAAGTATGTTAAGAAATAACAAATTAACTTTATCTGTCTGTGATGTGTGTTTTTCTCCCAGCCCGTTTCCTATGAAATGTGACACTTTTATACTACTTAGGCAAGTTCTGGTCCTCTAATTCAAATGGTTTAGTTTTTAGTTGTTGGCTTGGCTTCATTTATCAGTATAAATTGCTATTGGCAGGACAGGCAAAGTCGAAGGTTGTGGAATCTCTTGGTTCACTTCTGTGAGGCAACACTCTGGTTAGCTCTGACTTCAACTGCAACTTAACTCAAACTCAACTGGAACTAACTGCAACTCAACTAACTGCCGAACAACCACAGGATGTTCGTTTATATGGGTACCGACCAAAACCCAGTGTGGGCCAGATGCAACCTGGGGTTCTCGGTAAATCTCAATTTCTAACAAGAAATCTCTTTGTTGTCAGACCAGGAAAATTGATTACTTCCTATTTTTGGAAAATTAATCACTTTCCATTTCGGGGGGGGGGGGGTTCTCCGTCGTCCATGAGGGAAGGTCAGAGGAGAGTTATCCTTCTAGATTCTTTCTCTCTCACATTGATATCTCATACCAATCCCTGTAGGGGGTGTTAACAACTTCTCCACCTTTCTCAACCATTCACCTCCACCTATCACCCATGCTACCACTCGACCAGTAGCGTTCTGGCAGTGTGGGTGTGGCTAAGCTGGCCTCCTTAAAATTATAATCTAGAATTTTTGTTTACAAAATTCTCCTTTCCCATCGACCAAAATTTTTATGAATTCCACATTGCCAATTAAATTTTTATCATATCTTCTCTTTTTTCTGGGCCACCCAAAAGTTACGTAGCAAGCACTCTTTACTGACTCATCAACCACTGTCAATGTTTGCCATCTGGTCCTTACGTTAAGTTAGCTTTATAATGGAATCCTTGATTTGTTAAGAAATTAAATTCTTTTATCTCACCAAATCTCTATTTTCCACTCTATTTTCTCTCTCATGCCAAAATTTTACAATCCCACATTGCTATTCAACATCTTAGTGTCTTTTGGTAAAGTAAATGATAACAATCCTCTCACCTATGTCGAGACAATGCCAAAATTTTATAATTGCCACATTGCTTCTCTTCATCTGTATCCAAGAAAAAAAATAAACAATATCTTGGAAAGATAATTAATATTGATTCCCATGCCTGTATTAGCATTCATCTCAAGCCCAAATTTTTATGACTGCTATGGTTTGGCTGAAATCTTCATATTTGCCTTTCTTTCTATCTCTCTCGGTGAGACATAAATCAACAAGACCTCACATGTGGCTTCTTCCACAGCCTTTACTGTCTTTTCTGAAAAGTATCTTTTTTTCATAAACAGAATTAAAATCTTTTTTTTTTTCATTGATCAGTCTGTCTTTTGAGATAGCTCTTTTTCGCTTTAAGAATGTCTATTTTCTGTTTTAATTTCTATGGTTAATTAGTTAGCCAATTACCATAGCTAAATAGTGTTACAAAACCATTATTTAATGTTTATATAAATTACTGTTATACCCTAGACTTGATTGTTTTTAAAATTGATTTATCCTATTTTTATTTACGCCTTCATAAATCCCTTATAGTGAGTTAATCCTGATAAGGCCCAAATCTAACCCCAAATAACCCACTATAGTTGAACATTCTGACTTAAACCACTTATTTGTGAAATGAGAATGTATGTTTAAATTTCTGGCTACTTATATTTTTTTAGTATGTATCTGAAAGTTGATACTTTGAAAAATAAGAAATTATTTTTCTTTTTTTTTTGATTCTTCATTTTTTTACCTGAAATGCTCAACTGATTCAGGTTTTTTATACAGGTATACCACCATTTTTCTGGTAACTTTCTTTTTAGAACATTGCCAGATTATACACCTTGCAAGGCCAACAAAAGTCATATAATAATAATCCAATAATTGATCTCTGACCAACTAGTTATGCACATCTCATATATTTAAAGTATTAGAACTGTGAGAAACTTAAATATTTGATATATTGTTTGATAAATATTTTAACAAACTTACTAGAATCTATCATGTATCAAAATAAGTAATACTTTTCCCATCATACAACATAATATTGCTTCATCTTAGTATTTGTTAAAACATATAGAATTTGGTGATAAGTATAGTTTATATGTTGCGTCAATTAGTGGTTAGAATATTAACTTTCTGACTATAAAATGTAGGTTTTGAATCTCACAATGGTTGATTTGTGGTTATTTGATAATATTGTCCTGCGGTGATTATCCTAGTATAAGGCATCTTTGGGAAGTGCTTAAAAACCATACCATGAGTTGAACCAAAATAGGCTAGACAAAACTGTTTGAAAGTCATAGAGGGTTGTACTAGAACAATCATCTGGCTTGAGGGTTTGACATTTTTTAAATAAATGTTCATGTCAGGTTATGTGTTTCTTCCCAGAAACTGTAACTATGGTCTGCTCAGCATAGTTGCAGTATAAACTACAGGTGGGATCTGTGGGTGTTGAACAAACACAGATGTGCCAGAGCAGGTGCTTGCAATAGGGATTAGTTAGCCATCTTAGCAGACAGGTATTCTTGGAAGTGAGCAATCAGCCTTATTAACCACTCATCAGTTCAACTCCAAGATAGACTAAACAGTTGTTAAGAATAAGAATAATTTTGTTGTCTTCTGGTGTGCAGGGCACTCTTAATTTTGTCTGCATTAAAAGAGGTGCCAGTGAATTGTTGGTCTAATTGCAATGACACCAATTTCAATGTTTTCTAATTCTTATAAGCATTGTGATAAAATAATTTAACTTTCTTTAATTCATTCTTCAGCTGTTTCTTTTAGAAGAAGTCAGAGACCGAAAAATGGATAAATATGCACGTCTGATTGTAAAAGCATTCCGAAAATACTTTGCCAAAAACCGGTACCTTAAGCAGCGTGAAGAAGGTGAGAAACTTATTAATTTATTTCCATTTGAAAATTCTTCCACTGCTGTGTTTTGTCTGTTAAGACAATGTCAAACAGGATATCATATATTTATTTCTTATATTTATCATTTAGAAGAAAAAATGATTAAAGAATGTTTATCTTTAATTAAAACATCATTATATTTTACATGCACACACAACTCAACCACAAAAACTTTTCAAAATAATTTTGATGTTTAGACAAATTTCATGAAGTGGGTATGACAGAACTTTTTAGCATTCCTGCATATTATATCTTTTTTATATTTTTGTGTGTGACTAAATTTTGTCTTTGAGTGTTATGTTAGTAGGTATTTATCCACATGTCAACATTCTTACAGAAAGGGACACAAAGTAGGAGTTTGAGAAGCTGTTAAAAAACTGCTCAAGACCCCTTGTCTATGTCCCATTTGTGGACACCTCTGTAATCCAAGTCTCCTCTTGAAGGAGAGCTATTGCCTGTGGGTGATGAGCTAATATTAAAACAAAAATTTGCTATCAACCTTTTACTATATATTTTTAAAAAATTGTATTTATAACATAAGAAGTTACATTTAATTTATATAAAAATTTTTAAATCCATATTTTAATAAATATTTAATCTGTGTTATTTACCATATATAATTGTGTAATGTACAATCTCACATATCATGCAACCCTTAAATTTTCACTTATAAAAAATGATTTTATCATGTATCTCATGTATCCTATTTTTTTAGGCCAAATTACAATAGACTAACCTCTTTTTCTCTATCTCTTTATCCCATTTTCTAGTTAAATAAATTAATAAAGTAAAAGAGACTGATTAAAGTATTGTTAGTAATGATATACTTGTGTAAATGGATGCAGCCATAAACAACTGAATGAAAAACATCTAAACATACTATAAATGTAAACAATGGAAAAGATGCATATTCGCTATGTTTGTATTTTATAATAAGATGCTAATATGTGAATAACATGCATTATTACTGGATACAGTTCAGTAAAACATCAATTTTATCAAAATAATGTTTATTTTAAATACAGCTGTACTTTTTGACTACAGTAAATTGATAGATAGTTTGGTCAATGGTGTAGCCAGGGCCAGCAGTACATACACTAATTTTATATCTCATGTATGATATCATGCCCTTAAAATTAGCGTCAAAATTAGGTCTTCAAAAGTGGCATGATATGCGAGTATATACAGCATTTTTAATTCAAATTTACAAAATTGCCATATATAAGCAGTGTTTATGCCATTCTTCATTTTGTTTGCATAAAAAGTATTTATGTCTTCTGCCAAAATTCAGCTGTAAGACAGAGAAGATATCAGTGAGTTTACATTTAAAGAAAACATAAAAAATGTAATCTTGGCTTCTAAAAATAATACTTCTTAAAGAAATGGACATAAGTAATTAAAAAAAATTTAATCCAAGCAAGGTTAGTTACAATCTTAGTTTCTGTAGTGTTCATAATGACAACTGTAGTCATCTGGCATCTCACATTACAACAAATTGGTTGAGTAGAGTTGAAAAATTGTTTTTATGGAATTATCTAAATAAGGCAAAATAATCTGTTTAATTAGATTTTCTTAAAATTGTATTGAATTATTTAAACAAGTGAACAAATAATAAGTTTGAATTATTATTAATTCTTCTTTAGATTTCTGTTGTATACACATTTCCTTCCAGCTTTCAATCAGAGACCTAAGGTCAGAACTGTCTTCATGACATTTTCCACTGATCATTTTTATAAAAAAAAAAAAATCTAAGATCACACACATTTTATATAGATAAAAGTCTTTGTAATGTGTGAGCTGTACTTGTGAGTACAATTTTTTGTATTTCTTTAAGGCATAGGCTACCAGGAATCCCTTCAATGAGTCTATTGGAACCTTTTTCAATCAATCTTAGGGCTCTGGAATTATTGATATGTGCCACACTTTTGAGATTTCTACTTCAAGATCCTTGTATTTTGATAGTTTTTTGAAGATCTTCAGAGACATTAAAATCTACAGAGACTGCCATATTAATAAAATAGCATATTCTGTTCTTGTGGTCTCAGAGAAGAACTCTGAATTAAAAACCTCCAACTATGGGTTAAATAGCCTCACCAACCTGCAATTGGCCAAGCGTGGTGAGTGTGGTTACACCCTTGAAGATATAGTCAATCAGTGAGGGGCTCCTTCAACATGAGTGAGAAGTCCCTGGATCTGGAGCTGATCTAATAAGCTTTTATTCCTGCTACCTTTTTTGGTAGATTTATTTACTAATAATATATTTTTTATACAGTTTTTATTTAAATATTTCTCATGTTGATTGTACGGTTCAGTAAATTTTGATTTCCAATATAAATACAAAGGCTTCAGTATTTTCCTCTTTCAAATTTTATTTTATCAAACTTTCTGAAATGCAAAGAAAAGCAATGTAAAAAAAATTTCTTTTTTCAGCATGTGCAGTGATCTTCAATAAGAAAGAACGTAGACGTTTCAGTTTGAATCGCAATTTCATGAGTGACTATATTGGGGTTGACAATCGACCAGCTTTATTGACCTTAATACCTAAAAAAGAAAAAATTGAGTTTGCAGAGACAGTGAATAAATTTGACAGACGTTTTAAGGTAAGAAAAAGAACATTTAGATTGTATGTATATATGTGTTTCTTTCATATATATATATATATATATATATATATATATATATGTATGTATAATAAAGTTAATTGGTAATCTGTATTGATAATTTCAGGGAAGATATAAATGCTGAGAGCTCAATGTAGTAAACAGAGCAAGTAATAATTAATTAACAAATCAGAGAAAGCCATGGTAATATTTTATATTTTGTGAGACCGATAAAACTCGGTTTCGCTTTGTCAGACCTTAGTGTTTCAAAACTGCACACACACACACACACACACATATATATATGCATTTTATGTGTTTTACATATATGTGTAGTAATTATTATCTACTCCTACTTTGAGTTTTGTAGAGTTTACATCCACTCATCAGGAGGCTCGATAGTAAAATTTTATAGGTGAATAATTTTATTATTATAAATTTTATTAGTAGAAATTTCCATTATTTTAAATTTTCTTAGTAAAATTTTACTGTCAAGCCTGCTGATGAGTGGTTGTAATCTCTGTGAAACTCAGAGTAGGGACAGATAAGTGATGTTTTCCTTTACCTCTTTTGCCTTCCATATGTCCTGTGTCTGTCAAATTCTCTAATCTGTCTTTCCTTATGTGTTCTAGAATTTTCAACTATTTCTGATTCTATGTGTGCTTTTTGTTTCTATTTTCCTTAAAATTTCCTTGTTGCTTACATTCTCTGTCCATAGTATTCTCACTATCCTTGTTTAGAACCACATATTAATTGTCTCAACTCATCATCTGTAAAGAAACTGTCCAATGTTCAGTCACATGGGAGGATTGATATTAAGCCATTAAGAGAAGACATTTAATATACGTATAGTAATTCTAAATTCTTGTCATGTTTTGATCCAACAAATTAATGTAGCATTATGACAATTTTTATTTAAGGCCATGTCGTCTCGCATCTCTAGAGGCTTAGTAGTATAATGTATAGTGGCTTGGAATGAGAAATTGGAGAGCCAAGTTCAAATTCCAGTCAAGTCTTACATTCACTTAAGTGCAAATACCCTTGAGAATGGTATGAATCTATTTCTTCTCCCTCCAGCTATGGGTTAAATAGTAAGACTGATATCTGGAAAAATCATTATCTCCCCCCAAAATTGTTAGTGCAATATTTATTCACAAAAGAATGTAAAGGGTGTCTCATTAAGATGGATCAAAGTAAGCAGTAAATAAATTGTTATTTGCTAAAATTTATCTATTCCTCTATTGGACCATCTTATTTAAGTCATGGCAGTTATGTGTGAAAAATAATATCACCCAAATGTCTGCCAAGGTTTCAGTGGCACACTTCCACTTAATGGTCAAAATTTTTGATGACATCTCTGCATAGTTGCTTCTTGATCTCGCCAATGTGCCTTATTATCTCATCCTTCAGCTGTTGAATTGTTGTTGGCTTGTTGGAATAGACCTTACTTTTGAGATGACCCCAAAGGAAGAAATCTAAAGGTGTCAAGTTGCATGATTGTAGTGGCCAACTGACTTTGCTGTTTCAAGAGATGATGCAACCTGGGAACTTATTGAATAAAACCATTGTTGCATTGGCTGTGTGACATGTGGCGCCATCCTGTTGGAACCACAAATCTTCGACATCCATAGTATTCAATTCAAATTGAAATTGCCAAAGACTTAAGTTGTTAAATCTGAAAGAAAAAGAAACAAATCATTAAACACTTAAACTTAATTCACATTTAAAATCAGTCCAAGTTATTGGAACACACTTTATCATTCTTACAATCTGGAATATTTTTCAGTTTTAAATAACCCACAAATGGTTGATAAGCCATAAAAACCAGATCAATCAATCATTAGAGATAATCCCAAGGAAAACCGTGGTGATAACAGTATATTGTATATAATTAGTTTATTTTTTGGTAGAAAAGATTTGAACAATGTACATTTATATTTTTATGCAGATTACGAAACGTGATCTGATCCTGACATCAAAAAATTTGTATCTGATTGGTCGAGAAAAGATAAAAAAAGGTCCTCAGAAAGGGATTGTCCATGAAGTGATCAAACGTACGGTCCCTATTGATCAAATTCAAAAGCTTGCTCTCAGGTAAGTAACCAACAAATCTTTTTCCTTTTGCTGTCATCATGAATAAATTGAAATGATTCATCAAATTGTAATAATATAATAATAGCTGGTTACTTGTTCCCAAGTACATCCATCTTCTAGGGTGGCTAGCCAATCACCATTGCAGATGCCTGCTCAGGCACATATGTATTTGTTCAACTCCCACAGAGCCACTTAAGTAGTTTATACTTTAACTCTGATAGTACCAAATTTGTGGAGTGTTATTTGAAATTTGTGGAATGTTTTTAGTATACTAGAAAAAAAAATCAATAAATTTAGTAGGCATAAAATGTCTATTCATTTTAATATAATCTATGTAGAAGAAAAGTCAACAATGCACTGTACTCAATTTGAAAGAACACTTGGGAATAATTCCCATGAATAGGAATTTAAAACTTTTTTTAATGTCAGTTAACACATTTATTACCTGCCACCACACACCTTCATATAAATCATCTGAGGATTCATTAGCAGCACTTGAGTCAAGCTTTGAATGTCAGCTGCTTGTGAGGAATCATCAGGTGCTCTTTATTCAAGTTTGATAACTTGCTGTGGCATTCATCCCCAAAGCAAAATAATGGTCGTTGCTATGGAGTGGTATCTTTCTGTTCAAGGCTGACTACAAACTGTTAATCCTAGTAATATTTTCCATTTTAAATTTGGAAGTATGCCAGCTCTGAGGAAACTTTTTGCAGTGTTGTATCCATAAAGAAATGCATAAATAAAAATTAATTATAGTGTCAAAAATAATTATGATAAAATAATCATAACAATTATAATTATTATTAATTCACTCTTTCTAAACTAATGAAAATCAACTCCACTTTTCTCCTCTACACACAAAACATGTGACATTCTCACTATTGGACAGGCCATCAACATGTGTGTCAACAAAACTTGAGGCTCCTTTACATTTTTCAGGACATAATAGAAACATTTATCTCTTAGCACACAACAAAAATTTTAGGTAAGAAAACCCCAGACACTTCTTGTATTTTCCAACTAAATTATCACTCATTACACATATCTATAAAAATATATGAGAAAGACATTTTACTTATTCTTTATCCTATCATTGTGTCTTGGATTCCAATCCATATTTGATCTACATTTGACCCCAAACTCATAATTTTATTCAGTATTACTGTTTTTTGTTTCTCCAGCACCACATAACAACCAGATAATAAATAATACTTGTTTTCTTGTTTCCACATCTTTTGTTGTTTCTTATTTTTACAAGTATTTTTGTAGATAAAAATATCAGGCAAAATATAATTATTTACTCAGAGTTCTAACACCCCCCCCCTTACAGCAGACAAGATCAGGTAGAGACACAACATTGACGCACTTTATACAGACTTGGTAAGTGGACATCATATTGGCAGATGCAGCTGCAATTGATTTGTCATTCTTTGGTGGTACATTGTACTAGTACACTACTTTTAATATGGGTATGTGGCCGAGTGGTTAGAACATTCACATTCTGACCATGCAACCTGGGTTCGAATCTTACCATGGTCGATTTGTCAAGGAGAAGACTTCCAGATGTTATTGGACTGGAGGGGTCGATGCCAGCATGCAACTCCTTTAAAAAGTTCCTGAAAACCATACCACAGGTTGAACCAATCCTTGTGAGTGAATTTGGGTAGATGGAACCCTGTGCTAGCACAAAGTCACAAGTCATCGTGGCCGAGGGCTTGAGTGTGCTGGCCTTCTTCAAATTCTTGATCACACTAGATAACATGCTTTTTCCCAGAAACTGTAACTAAAGTCTTTTCAGCATAGTTGCAGTATAAACCACAGGTGGGCTCTGTAGGTGTTGAATAAACACCTGAGCAAGCATTTGCAATAGGGATTGGCTAGCCACCCTAGTAGACAGGTATCCTTGAATACAAGTGACCAGCTATAACCCTACTTCTATTATGGAATATTTTTTTCTGACCTTTTTTTTATTGGTCCTGATCTGTCGTCTTGGCTCCAGTTACTTTCCATCACCTTAATGCAGCTTCCCTCTGCCTTTTCTACAAGTAATTTCATGGTAATTGTTTTGACAAATTTTCCTCTATGGCACCAAGACTTTATGAATTTAAGCACACTGCTAGATTGACAGCAAGGTCTTATAATTTTACAGTTGAAATGGCTGCTAGATGTAACATATAAGTTTTATGTTAACAGTTTCTTTTTCACACTTACTGGCTTTATTGCATTGCTTTGGGTGAAATGATTTAAAAAAAGAATTTCAAGTTGGACTAACTAATTTCAAATTGAGACTAAACAATTTCAAGTTGGTGCTAACCAATTTCAAATTGATACTAACCAATTTCAAATGGAGACTAAACAATTTCAAGTTTGGAAATATATTTTTAAACAAAACAAATGAGACATAACAATGAAACTGAGCTAGCAAATATTTATTGTCACTTCACTGATGTAATGGAATAACCTGTCACCCCCATGAGTGACTATACTATAGGTAGTAACTACCTATAAGTATCGGTATGTCAATGGACTATGGGGACTAGCTGCGACCATTTCCAGCTAAACAGTCGAACTCTCTGCCTTTGGGAAGAGAGGAACCTGGACGAGGCTCTGCCGAAGGGCAGAGGTTCGTTTGGGGAAGTTGACTGACCCTGAACCCGTTTATATGGGTTCAAAAAGGAATATTTTTGGCTGAGCCTATGGGCTCGGAGAACCCACGTTAAACCAGGCCTTGAGCCACATGCAACCCTCGTGTCAGGCGCTAAATATACTAGCTACAACCTGTTTCAGCTAGACAGTCAAACTCTCTGTCTTCGGGCAGAGAGGAACCTGGACAAGGCTCTACCGAAGGGCAGATTCTCATTCGGGGAGGTAGACTGCCCCTGAACCCGTTTATACGGGTTCGTAAGGAAATATTTTTGGCCAAGCCTACAGGCTTGGTGTACCCATGTTAAACAAGCCTTGTGCCACATATAACCCTCGTGGGGGGCTAGCTAAATATCCTAGATGGGATCTGTTGAGTATGACTCAGACATACACGAGAACTACTGATCTTCCAATAGTAGCACTTACTACTGGATTGACTTGCAACAACCTTGTGCATAAGGATTGCCTTTATTTTTTGTACTGGCTTTTTACAATAAACCTTTACTTATTTTATCCACCTTGTTTTTCAAGTATATATTCCTATTAGCATGGAATATAACAGTCTCTAACCCATGAATTACGGAATATCAATGTATTCATGTATGTCAAAAATTCATATCCTCAAGATCCAAGGCTGGCTGTATAAATTGCTGGACATGTGCCAGCAGAGCAGTACATTTAGGCAGGATTATTAGAGGTATATTATTAGTAATCACTTGCTCAAGTTGTGCACTGCGAAATTTAGTTTATGTTGCATTTCCCTGTCCCAAGAACTTGGGGAAGCTTCAAAGCTACCGAGGATTTTACACAAGCCTTAAGAATTGACCATGCTCCTTCTGTGAACAAATTGTAAACTTTTTTGAGTGTGAATAATAGTCCATTCAAATGTTGGCAAAAACATTTTGGAACTCACAACCATATATAAAAACTGCCAGCTGCTTCAACGTTATTTGTGGTTTCTCCTCCACACACTCTTTAATAAAAGCCTTGTGTTCAGCACCAATTTTAGTACACTGCAATCCACCATGTTGCTTTCCAGGTTCATCACCTCTAGTTACCCATTGGAATGCTGTGGATTTTTTAATTCCAAGACTATCCACAAGACTTCACCAGTCTCCATTAATATCATATGATACTCTTTCATTTCAGGTGCAGTGGGGTGAAGAATGAAATATTTTATTTCTTAAAGAAAACCACGTGATTGTGATTAATTTAATCAAAATGCATATATGGTGTGTTTAACTGATGATGCATGATGTGAAAGGATGTTCTTGGACATTTATACCTGGGTGCTACCAACTTGAAATTGTTTAGTCTCAATTTGAAATTGATTAGTCACAATTTCAAATTGATTAGTCCAACTTGAAATTGTTTAGTACCAACTTGAATTTGAAATGCTATAGTACATATGCACAGCAAATTTAGACTCCCTACTTGTCCATAAACCTCTTAAATATTCTACTACAAAACATGATGCCATTGTTGGTTAGCAGCTCAATTGGTGGACTTTGTAATTCATAATCTTCTTCTATATCCCATGTTCCTTTAAGGATATTGTCGATCATGGCTCTCCACAATTTCCTGCCTCTTGTAGCTCTTAACTTTTGTCTTTTTACCATCTCTCCCAATTCCTCAAGCTCACCAGGTAGGTTATGCATTGTTTTCCTGCCTCTCTTACCTTCAATCTGTGAGTATCAAATTTTCCAAGCCCTTTTTCTTGTTCATAATATAGTAACTAAAGTCGGTGAATAACAAGTTCAGGAATCAGTTTGAGGTCAAATGTTTTGTTTGCCATTTGTTATTTTGTTGATATAACTATAGCAAAGAAAATGGCGACTTACCTCATCAAACCAAGCGACAGTGCGTCGCGTGTATTCTACAATGGAAAATGTGGCAAAAAAGAAAATTACTTACCAAACAAAAGGGCACGTATTCCGCATGACATGCTGAAGATGGAATATTTGAATTAAAAAACAAGTCCATCGCAGGAATCTCTATAAAAGTATTTTGATATGCAAATTACTGAACAACCTCTCCCAGCTGTCGACGAATGGAAAAAAAATGTTCAGCCAATAAAAGCAGTGGGTTTTCTCGAATAGGTGGGGAAAAAGAAAAAGTCGGCAATTTTGACTGCCATGGCTGTTGGAGAGTGAGTTATTTTTCTGACTGGTGGTGTGCATTGGGATTTGTGAAATAGTACTTGCAAATCGAGTTTTCGGCATTTTTTTTCTGTTCCCGATGTTCAAGTCTGAACTTAGTGATTTATTCTCTGTGATGTGGAAATAATCTGTGACAAACATTTCCTTTGCAATCCCAGATCGCCTACAATAACTTACTGTAAAGAAAGAAAACAAACCCAAAATATCTTCCTTCTCAAACATTAACATCAAGTTTTTCAGCTGTAATCTTTTATTTATAATTGCTAGATTCATTATTTCTTTTTCCTACCAGACTTATTTTTCGTCATGCTTGTCAGACAGCTACATGGATTATTGCTTTCTCTTCCAGTTCATGGCTCTCTTTTATATTAAAATATACTATGAATTCTCAATATATGCTTCAGATGAAAGTGGCTTGTCCTTTTTCAGGAGATTGCTTTTAATATTTGTGTTTGCCAAACTATGCACAGTCAACTCAGTGTCTGTTTTGAAACTAAGTATTATGTTTCTGTTTTTTACTTGTTCACTTAAAGTTATGCCTACTTTTCCCTTTGCATTATATCAAATCACTTCATGCCTGTCCATGTGAGTAGGTTGGCCATATGTATCTTGTATCGTATGATTGTATAAAACTGTCTTTGAAAGAAATTAAACCTCAGAGTAAGTGGTATGATAATTCATTTATTGGATATATTATACAAGTGCATACTGTAAGGTTCACAGCTCATAAAGCAAAAAAAAAAAAAAAGTAAAAGAAAAATTTAGGTTTCATTGGTCAGGTTTTGTGAGATGAACTGAAAGCTTTTATGCATTTCTTCTTTTAACCAGCCTAGTAGAGGATTGTAATTTGTGCTTCACTTGTAAATGTATTGTCTGAACTCACTATTGCTTGTTCAGGCACATTTTTTGTTTATTCAACACCCACAGAGCTCACCTGTGGTTTATACTGCAACTATGCTGAACAAACCTTAATTACAGTTTCTGGGGAAAAAGCGTGTTATCTAGTGTGATCAACAATTTGAAGAATTCTTTTCAAGCTGAATAATGTAAAGCTGGGTGATAATTTTTTCATGATTAATTTACATTTATAAAGTAGTTTGTTTCTATTGTATTTTTTTTAACTATTTACAATGTTAAAGAAATTCCTTTTATGAATTTATTTTCAACAAATTATTTTCTGGAATTTAAATTTGTTATTTACAAAGAGAATAGTTTATGGTTATTTTTCAGATATTATTATTTTTTTGTAAATGTTTCATGTATATAAAGAAAATAAACTCAATTCTTATGGAATTAATAAAATGGCATCATAGTTTTTATAATGGTGATGTAATAGAATAACCTGTCACCCCCATGAGGGACTACACGATAGTAACTACCTATAAGTCTCTGTAATTCAACAGACTCCAGAGTCTAGCTGGGATCTGTTTCAGCTAGACAGCTGAACTCTCTGATTTGGGCAGAGAGGAACCCGGACAAGGCTCTGCCGGAGGGCAGTCTCTCGTTTGGGGAGGTAGACTGTTCCTGAACCCGTTTATACAGGTTTGAAAGGGAATATTTTTGACTGAGCCTACGGGCTTGGAGAGCCCACATTAAACCAGCCTTGTCCCACATTCAACCCTCGTGGGGGGGTAGCTAAATATACTAGCTGGGATCAGCTGAGTATGACTCAGACTTACACGAGAACTACCGACCTTCCAATGGTAGCACTCACTACTGGATTGACTTGCGACGACCTTGTGCATAACTGTTACCTTTATTCTTATTGTACTGGTTTTTTACAATAAACCTTTACTTATTTTATCCACCGTGTTGTTCAAGTATATATTCCTATTAGCATGGAATATAAAAATGGGAAATTATTTTATTACTGGTCACATGATGACCAAATATTGTCAGCTTCAGCCAATATATTTTATGTCATGACTAAAGTTTTTAATTTGATAACAAAATACATTTAGTAATAAAAGACAAAGAATTAATTAAAAAATAGAGGAAGACTGCTATTCAAATTAAAAAAATCTGAAGAAATAAAACTTATTATTCAGTTGTGAATATTATTTATTTAGTTTAATATTCAGGAAATATTGAGCCTAGTTAAGAAAATGCAGAGCAACATGAATTTTTTTATATTATACTGGTACAAAATTACTTGCAGTCATTTTTACAGCATTGGTAACCAAGTCCAAGAATAAAAGAAAAAAGAGGAAGGCAAAGCTGGGGTTCGGGGGAGTTGAAACTGGCTTATAAGATTCAATACCTCCAAAACCAATCTGGTAAAATTTCATCATCACAAAGAGTAAAATTTTCTCTTTTGTCATGATGAACATATTGTACCCTCACATCTGTATAAGTAATTTATATATATATATATATATATATATATATATTATATCTGATAATGATAATAATAATATGCTATGTATATATCTTATACCTGTATAAGTAATTTCTTATTTGTACTCTCATATTATGAACATATACTCTCAATAGGGCACCTTGCTTTGAATGCCTATTAGGGTTCAAGTTCTGCCCCCCAAAAAAAAAACTGTAGATGAACTTGTATATCACTATAAAGGCTGGAAAAATGATAGGTTCTTTAAATGTATCTATTTTTACAAGAGTTAGATCAGACCAAAAATGGAGTATTACTGCCATATCTGGGCTGGAGCTGTACAATCCTAACTTTTTATACACTCTTCAATGGTTAAGTTTATTTTGGTTTGTTCTTTAAGATGATTGTAAAAGCAGCTGCCACATAAGTAAGCATTATTTGTTACTTTACATTGGTATTTTTTACTACATAAAGTCAGTTTATGAACTTTTACCTAACAATTTTGGTATTGCTATATTCTGTGATAATAGGAATATATACTTGAAAAACATGGTGGATAAAATAAGTAAAGGTTTATTGTAAAAAAACCAGTACAATAAGAATAAAGGTAACAGTTATGCACAATGTCATCGTGAGTGAATCCAGTAGTGAGGACTACTATTGGAAGGTTGGTAGTTCTCGTGTAAGTCCAAGTCATACTCAGCAGATTCGAGCTAGACTCTGTTGACTTACAGATTCTTATAGGTAGTTACTACCTATAGGGTAGTCACTCATGGGGGTGACAGCTTATTCCATTACATCAGGTATTCTTTCGAATATTTACTATACAGGTGAGCAATGATGTAGAAAAGTTTAAAATAATGGTTTAATTTATTAAATTGGATTCATTAGTGATTTAACTTACTATATGAGTTGAAGTTAGAATTCGCTTTTAGTCAATGATCTGTGAACTAATTGTAATTTTAAAAATTTTAAACAAGGAGTTTAATTATTATTTTGCCGTGTAACTTACTTTCTTTTCAGGTAATATTTCAAGTTTTTGCATATATAATCTGTTTGAAATTAATTAATTGTCAGACTTTTCTTGAGTATGTTTAAAATGTAAATCTGTGATTTCTTTTCTCTTTTCTAATTTGTTTGTTTTTCTCTTTTTAGCTCAATGCAAGATGATTTCATAATTATTTATGTTCAAAGTCAATATGCGAGCCTGATTGAGTCAGTATTTAAAACAGAACTTGTCTCTGTTCTCGCTAAACTCTACAAGAAAAAAACCACAAAGGATCTGCTGGTTATTTTTAACAATAAGTAAGTATTATTTGTTTAGTGACAGAATTTTCAAGATCAGCTATTGAAATTATGATACACTGATTCACTCAAATTGGTTTCCTTGTTTTTGTTGGTTTTACCACAATATTTCTCATACTGAAGCCTCCAAACATTTTCTGAAACCTTTTATTTGCACCATGAAATTATTCTGTTCTTTTTCCTGGACAGCTAAAAAAATTTCAGAACTCATCAGCACCACATTTTCCTTTCTGTTGATAATCTACCTCTCGACAAGCTAGTATTTATTTCTGATTTATTGATTCAGAAATTGAACGTTCAGGAGACCAAACAAGTTTTACCAATTTTTTTATCTACTAAGATTACAAGACAATTAATTTAGTATAATAATGACAATAAAAAAAAAGAAATTGGACTGAATGAATCACTACAATTACTTCTATTGTTGATATGTATGACCTTTATGATTTTCTACCTAAGGTCAAACTGTAGTATCTGTGTCTGATCTATATTATGCCTTTATGATCTATATTATTATTCTGTTTGTTTTTATCTTTGGCTGTTATACTTTTCTAGTTTGGATTAGAGTGTAGTATCTGCTCAATCATTCTGAAATAGAATCAGTTACATTTTCTGATCAAGAAACTTATATAATGATGTTGGGCTGAAAGGAATTGGGAAAAATTGGGGGAGAGGAGGAAGTGGAATGATCAAATGTAAGGAATTGAAAAATGTAAAGGAACACAGGTGAAAGGAAAAAAAAACATATTCATGTCGTGAGACGGCAAAAAGATGGAAATGAGAGAGAGATATGGATTTTCTGGCTGAGTTTCAAGATAATGAATGAAAGATTGAAAATCAGAGGAGGATGGAAAGGCTTTGAGTTGTTATAGATTATGATCTTTATGGACGGATAGAGCAAGAGAAAGATAAAAGAGAGGTTCTATTACAAAATGTCCATTCTTTATTCTATTTTCACATATAAAACTAATCCATGTTTATGAACGTTTAGATAAACGCATGAAAGAGCAATGAAGATTGAAAGGGATAAGGTGGACGTGAGAAGATACAGACAAAGGACAGAAGAGCTGAAATATGAGATAATAGATAATTTTAGTTGTCAACATCCATGGAATTTATACAGGCTCATCTAGTGGCGTAAAGAAGAGAATGAGAAGATCCATATAAATGGTTAGAGAAAAGCACATACATGAAAGAATGGATAACTTTAGTTTTCAACATCCATAGAAATCCCACATATCCATCCAGAGAGATAAAGGAGTGACTGAGAAGATACAGATAAAGGGTAAGAAAAAATGGAACATGAGATAATGAATAATCTTAAATGTATTGAAGAGAATAATAGTTAAAAGGTGAGAGTAGAGGAGAGGCAAGAGATAATGGATGCTGTTCATTGTATTGGAAGGGATAAGGGAGAGAATGAGAGGATAGAGTCAGAAGGTGAGAGGAGAGGCAAGAGATAATGGATGCTGTTCGTTGTATTGGAAGGGATAAGGGAGAGAATGAAAGGATAGAATCAGAAGGTGAGAGTAGAGGAGAGTCAAGAGATAATGGATGCTGTTAGTTGTATTGGAAGGGATAAGGGAGAGAATGAAAGGATAGAGTCAGAAGGTGAGAGGAGAGGCAAGAGACAATGGATGCTGTTTGTTGTATTGGAAGGGATAAGGGAGAGAATGAAAGGATAGAATCAGAAGGTGAGAGTAGAGGAGAGTCAAGAGATAATGGATGCTGTTCATTGTATTGGAAGGGATAAGGAGAGAATGAGAGGATAGTCAGAAGGTGAGAGTAGAGGAGAGTCAAGAGATAATGGATGTTGTTTGTTGTATTGGAAGGGATAAGGGAGAGAATGTGAGGATAGAGTCAGAAGGTGAGAGTAGAGGAGAGTCAAGAGATAATGGATGCTGTTAGTTGTATTGGAAGGGATAAGGGAGGGAATGAGAGGATAGTCAGAAGGTGAGAGTAGAGGAGAGTCAAGAGATAATGGATGTTGTTTGTTGTATTGGAAGGGATAAGGGAGAGAATGTGAGGATAGAATCAGAAGGTGAGAGTAGAGGAGAGTCAAGAGATAATGGATGCTGTTCATTGTATTGGAAGGGATAAGGGAGGGAATGAGAGGATAGTCAGAAGGTGAGAGTAGAGGAGAGTCAAGAGATAATGGATGTTGTTTGTTGTATTGAAGGGATAAGGGAGAGAATGTGAGGATAGAATCAGAAGGTGAGAGTAGAGGAGAGTCAAGAGATAATGGATGCTGTTCATTGTATTGAAGGGATAAGGGAGGGAATGAGGAGGATAGTCAGAAGGTGAGAGTAGAGGAGAGTCAAGAGATAATGGATGTTGTTTGTTGTATTGGAAGGGATAGGGAGAGAATGAGAGGATAGAGTCAGAAGGTGAGAGTAGAGGAGAGTCAAGAGATAATGGATGCTGTTCATTGTATTGAAGGGATAAGGGAGAAATGAGAGGATAGAGTCAGAAGGTGAGAGGAGAGGCATGAGATAATGGATGCTGTTCGTTGTATTGAAGGGATAAGGGAGAGAATGAGAGGATAGAGTCAGAAGGTGAGAGGAGAGGCATGAGATAATGGATGCTGTTCGTTGTATTGGAAGGATAAGGAGAGAATGAGAGGATAGAGTCAGAAGGTGAGAGGAGAGGCAAGAGATAATGGATGCTGTTCGTTGTATTGAAGGGATAAGGGAGAGAATGAGAGGATAGAGTCAGAAGGTGAGAGTAGAGGAGAGTCAAGAGATAATGGATGTTGTTTGTTGTATTGGAAGGGATAAGGGAGAGAATGTGGAGGATAGAGTCAGAAGGTGAGAGTAGAGGAGAGTCAAGAGATAATGGATGCTGTTCATTGTATTGAAGGGATAAGGGAGAGAATGAGAGGATAGAGTCAGAAGGTGAGAGGAGAGGCAAGAGATAATGGATGCTGTTCGTTGTATTGAAGGATAAGGGAGAGAATGAGAGGATAGAGTCAGAAGGTGAGAGTAGAGGAGAGTCAAGAGATAATGGATGCTGTTCATTGTATTGGAAGGGATAAGGGAGAGAATGAGAGGATAGTCAGAAGGTGAGAGTAGAGGAGAGTCAAGAGATAATGGATGTTGTTTGTTGTATTGGAAGGGATAAGGGAGAGAATGTGAGGATAGAGTCAGAAGGTGAGAGTAGAGGAGAGTCAAGAGATAATGGATGCTGTTAGTTGTATTGGAAGGGATAAGGGAGGGAATGAGAGGATAGTCAGAAGGTGAGAGTAGAGGAGAGTCAAGAGATAATGGATGTTGTTTGTTGTATTGGAAGGGATAGGGAGAGAATGAGAGGATAGAGTCAGAAGGTGAGAGTAGAGGAGAGTCAAGAGATAATGGATGCTGTTCATTGTATTGGAAGGGATAAAGGAGAGAATGAGAGGATAGAGTCAGAAGGTGAGAGTAGAGGAGAGTCAAGAGATAATGGATGCTGTTCATTGTATTGGAAGGGATAAGGGAGAGAATGAGAGGATAGAGTCAGAAGGTGAGAGGAGAGGCAAGAGATAATGGATGCTGTTCGTTGTATTGGAAGGCATAAGGGAGAGAATGAGAGGATAGAGTCAGAAGGTGAGAGGAGAGGCAAGAGATAATGGATGCTGTTCGTTGTATTGGAAGGGATAAGGGAGAGAATGAGAGGATAGAGTCAGAAGGTGAGAGTAGAGGAGAGTCAAGAGATAATGGATGTTGTTTGTTGTATTGGAAGGGATAAGGGAGAGAATGAGAGGATAGAGTCAGAAGGTGAGAGGAGAGGCAAGAGATAATGGATGCTGTTCGTTGTATTGGAAGGGATAAGGAGAGAATGAGAGGATAGAGTCAGAAGGTGAGAGGAGAGGCAAGAGATAATGGATGCTGTTCGTTGTATTGAAGGGATAAGGGAGAGAATGAGAGGATAGAGTCAGAAGGTGAGAGTAGAGGAGAGTCAAGAGATAATGGATGTTGTTTGTTGTATTGGAAGGGATAAGGGAGAGAATGAGAGGATAGAGTCAGAAGGTGAGAGTAGAGGAGAGTCAAGAGATAATGGATGCTGTTCGTTGTATTGGAAGGGATAAGGGAGAGAATGAAAGGATAGAATCAGAAGGTGAGAGTAGAGGAGAGTCAAGAGATAATGGATGCTGTTTGTCGTATTGGAAGGGATAAGGGAGAGAATGAGAGGATAGAGTCAGAAGGTGAGAGTAGAGGAGAGGCAAAGATAATGGATGTTGTTTGTTGTATTGGAAGGGATAAGGGAGAGAATAAGAGGATAGTCAGAAGGTGAGAGTAGAGGAGAGGCAAGAGATAATGGATGCTGTTGTATTGGAAGGGATAAGGGAGAGAATAAGAGGATAGAGTCAGAAGGTGAGAGTAGAGGAGAGGCAAGAGATAATGGATGCTGTTAGTTGTATTGGAAGGGATAAGGGAGAGAATGAAAGGATAGAGTCAGAAGGTGAGAGGAGAGGAGAGTCAAGAGATAATGGATGCTGTTCGTTGTATTGGAAGGGATAAGGGAGAGAATGAGAGGATAGAGTCAGAAGGTGAGAGGAGAGGCAGGAGATAATGGATGCTGTTCATTGTATTGGAAGGGATAAGGGAGAGAATGAGAGGATAGAGTCAGAAGGTGAGAGTAGAGGAGAGGCAAGAGATAATGGATGCTGTTGTATTAGAAGGGATAAAAGAGAGTGTGAGAAGGTGTTAAATATGCTACAAGAGCAGCAGCATCAGATAATGTGTAATCTTAGCTATTAACACATTTAGAATCTCCATGAGTCTGTCTCATAGAATAAGGAAGGAAGTGAGAAGATACAAGTCCAGCTGTTATTACATTTGTTTCTTACAAACTCTTACAACTTGATATGTTCTGGAAAGGGATATATTTGTTTGAAGTACCAAAGTGGTTTGAGACTACTGTAACCGAATAGGACAATCTAGCAGGTAACTGTAATGGACTGGTCCTTGTCGTAGTGGTAGGCAATAGACGTAGGCAATAGGTGTCATTCATGTACCTCCACA